GAGAGAGAGAGAGAGAGAGAGAGAGAGAGAGAGAGAGAGAGGCAGGTAAACAAAGACATGCATCACAAAACAAAACCAGAACCTTGTACAAATGTAACAATTTATTTCACCACAATCACAACACATGGTGCAAACATTTAACTTATTTGGCACAACAGAAACAGGATTTTCTCAGATATACAGAAGCCACACAACACACCATTAACCAAACTCTCAGATTCAACAGAATCAGCTACTCAAGAAAACACAGCAGATCCTCAGTCAGGCTTCTCTGATTTGTCATCATACTTCCAACGAGTAACTCAAACTCCTCGTATTAAAATTATTGCTGGAGATCACATCCAAGGCAATACTACAAAAACTATAACGTACAGTGGACCTCAATTAAAACAAAGTCTGTGGGTCCGCAACATTCTCTTTGGTTCCAACGTGTTTTCAGTTTGAAGAGATAGCTCAAATACTAGATCTAAAAGTAAAAGCAAAGAAAAAAAATTGAAAATTTTATTCACTTTTGGTCAAAGCGTTTTTTTTGGATTAACTGTGTTCGGTTTAAGCAGACTCCACCATTTTACCAATGCAGAATACTGGAGAGACCTGGAGTTCCCAATGCAGACTCAGACGATGGGTGAATACCAAAGGATCTATGGAGACCTAAGAATTAAAATATACTGGACAGAGGAAGACATGATGTCCACTGAGATCAACTAGAGGCCCAGAAGTTGGTAGCAAATGCAAGAAAGTCCAGACCAATGACAGAAAGAAGCCAAGCCCAGGAACGACTTTTTATCAAAGTCAAAAACTTAAATCTACTCGTTACATGCACCACCGAAGGAGTACACACAAGTTGACGCAACAAATGCCCGGAACATCAGTTGCTCCAATGCACTCACAGCAAATTGTCATTTTTAGGTAGGAATTTCCTTAATTAGCCACACCTGCCACCATTGCAAGATGGACAATACATGTATTGACAATGTCAGAACAAACACCACCATTCATTGTGATGTAGCAATGCTTATTAGCAAAATGACATTCATGAATATTAGTTTTAGTTTTAGTAAGAGTTTTACGGCACTTGCAACACAATAAGGTCATATAAGTGCCGAAGAATAGATTATGCGTTACAAGAGAGTAACAAACACAAAAAAGAAGGAGGTGAGATAAGGACGACAGATGTTTGATAGGAAAGAAGGAGCAGACCACACCAGAGCACCCGCCAACCGCCCACCATAAATATTAACACGTATATACGCACACGTGTATAGTAATGCTTGCTAAAACTACTTCAAAACACATTTTACAAATGACAAGAGTGGGCACAAATTTTTATTTTTAGAATCCAACGATTTTGAAAAAGGAGCAGACAACCATGCAATTTTCCTTCAAAATATAGTAAATCAAAGAAAAACCGTATCTAGTCATCACAAACAAAATGAAATGAGAATAAAAGAGGTCTTGAAAATGACACACTATCTCTTAGAGTAAACATCCGACTAAAGGCAATAAGTTTTAGTTTTATGAAAAGAATGAAAACATTGATGACATTTCTTGTACAAGAACAACGTTTTGGAATTCCTGTGCCGACAGGAATGTTTCTTTTAACTTTTGTTTTAGTACGAGTTTTACGGCACTTGCAACACATGTCATGTAAGTACTGAAGATAAGGCGTTTTACAAGAGAGTAACAAACACGAAAAAGAATGAGGGGAGATAAGGACGATATAGGTGAAAGAGTACACCACACCAGAGCACCCGCAAACACCCACGAATGTTTCTTCTATCTCTGTATCTATCTTGCTCTCTTGGCAGCGTGATGATAGGCCCTATCGTCTTCAGCCTTTATATAATTCTAATATATACAAAACTGCAGAAATTGTTCAGTGGATTGGTGGTGTGGTATACTTCAACTTCAAGCCAAAGGGGTCTTTCTATATTTCCTTCTTGATGTGTGTGCTTATCTAAGCTTGGAGTAGATGTTAGCATCTGGGAAGAAATAGCTGAGGACAGGAAAACAAGGAGGAAAATGATACAGGAAAGAACTAAAATGCTAGAGAGTAGCCTTAGAAACAACCAGGCTGAGAAGCGCCAACGAAAAAAGGAAAACAGCAGAAATACAGAGCTTCCATCTACGACACTGACATGCAAGCACTGCGACAGAATCTGCGCTTCAAACATAGGAAGAATTAGCCATGAAAGAAGCTGCATGAAGACATGATTCTTGAGACCATCCTAAGCTAAATTGACCGTCTGCATAGACGAAAAGAGCCATATACTGTGTGTGTGTGTGCGTGTGTTTTGTGCAGAATTGACAGAGAAGGTGAGAGAGCACGAGAGAGTGAGCATGAGACAGAGACTCAGAGAGCAGGTGAGAGAGAGAGAGAGAGAGAGAGAGAGAGAGAGAGAGAGAAAGACAGAGACAGGCAGAGAGAGAGAGACAAGAAAATACAGGAAGACAGAGAGAAATGACACAAATCTTTTCATTTTCACATGTCATGACTAGAGGGTAAAAAAAAAAAAATTCAATTGATACAAATGGCGTTCATAACATACATTTCCTGGACATGCGATATCCTGAGCAAATCAATGGAATCCTAATCTCCCTCTGTGACATTACTCTCAAATAAACTAGACTCACAACATACAAACACATCACACTCTCTTACTTCAAAGTAGCTCACAACTATGCCGGTTACTAGGCCTTGGTTAATCACATCCTTTATCTCCCACACACATGCCAAGACATTAAAGCTGAGTCATAAAATTTTGGCAAAGAATGAAATATGTGGTAAGTACAGTGGAAACCTAATATAACAGGGATGGTGGGACCAGAGAAAAAGTCCTGTTACATCAGATCCCTGTAAAATCAGAAATGCAAGGGAAGTAAGCATCTGCGGACTTATCCAGTTCTATTTATTCCGGGTAGTTTCCCTTGCCACAAGTACCCACAAACGTGGCCATGTGGCAGGCCTGCACATGACACATTACGCATGTGTGTAGCTAGGCTTAGGGCTAGATCGAAGCCTGCAGCACACCGCAGCCCTCTCTCGTTTCATCCGGTGCGTGTGCTTGCAATGGCGTGGCTTCCGTGGGCTTGCTCCATCACTGCGTTACTCTCTCCTTTTTACACATCGTTAACGAGCCTTTGTCCCTTCTAAAACCAATTGGGCTCCGATGAGGCCCTGTTATTGCCGATAACTTTTAATAGAGACAAAGAGAGGAAAAAACGGAGATTATTACCGGATCCCTGTTATAACCGGGCCTGTTATATATAGTTTCCACTGTAGCTTGTACTGTCGGCCACACCAGTAAACATGGAACAAATAAAAAATCAGACGATATAAATACTTCCTTTGTTTTTGCAATGATATACTCAAACTGAAAGGTGAGATAAATTTATTCTATTTAGTAGCTCTTTTATAGTGTCCCGTCTACTTTTCACTTGTGTTCATTGAATGATTTAAGTTCTGCAGGTTTTTCCTGACTGAGATGGTGAAAAGCTATCACATACTCACTTCTTTGAAACTAAAACTGGTTGCAAGACACTGACAATGTTATTATCATTAACATCTCACAGATCATAACAGTGTTGAAAGGGCTTAAGCGTGACAATATTCAAAGCAGAGGAACTAAATGTCTTTGTTATTGACCTTTTCTTCTGTACCAAAACAACAACAGAGTATGTGTATGTAGAGTCAGTTTTGGACTGAAGTCAAACACAAGATGTATATTTTAAGAGAGGCATATTTTGATATATCACTTTGCAAAGCATGGTAACATGGTAAAGCACCCACTATAAGAAGCAGAAAAACTTCCTTTAACCCCCCCCAAAAAGAAAACAACAACAACTTACAACAAACAAACAAAACCCCAACAAACTAAAATGAAACACTTTAAAATTCTTGATATTCTTAAGCTCCATTCTCCTCTACATGGATTTTGCTCTGATTGACATAAGCATAATATCGTAGAAGCTCATACTGGAAAAATACAACCCAACAACCCAAAAACTGTCTCTGTTAATCACAACACATGCATTAAGCAGGATTCACATCATGGCACTAGAATTAAAAACCCGTAACATTTTAAGAAAATTTTAATAAGACTTTCAAAAGCGCAGGTAACCTTTCTGCTTTCTTCCTTTATTCTCAGTACTCCTCACAACGTATGAGCATCACACTCCTTGGAAAAATACTTAGGATTTCTGCTGTGCAGGCTAAAAAAAATGTTGGATCTGGTTCCCATGGATGGAAGATGATTTATTGAGCATCTCAATATATACTCTGCTGGGAAATATGCAATTGTGACAGGAGGAATGACTGAAGCACCCCATGTTCTACATCATCTAAATTTTTCCAGAGTAGGCATAAAACACTTTCAATCATACTTGGGAACAAGAGGCGGCACAGCCTACAACACGCACTGCTATCACAAACTGTATAAAAGAAATGAAAACCTCTAAAAATAATAACTAACATATCAAAAACAGAATGTCGTTCTAACAACCAACTAGAGGGACATTTCTAGAAATGTCAAAATCTCCTTGAGTTATCAAATCACAAAAGTGGTTTACAAGGCATGTCTTTCATCCATATGATTGTAATCAATAAACCTTACATGTGATGCTGTAAGTAACAAGAGGGAACACTGCATAATGCTTTGATTGCTCTGGAAAACGCTTCACACACAGTTAAGAAGACAACTATCACAGAGGTTTTCAGGATCTTGGAACACCAGGGATGGAATCGAAACGCCTTAGGTACCTGAAGAAAAAAAAAAAAAAAAAAAAGAATTGGCAAGAGTCAGTTTACGATATACAAACATGACAGAGTTTTAAAATGATCTAGCGCTGTTCAAAGTTGTTACACTGAATTTACAACGGACATTCATATTTATCAATTGCCCAGGGATTTTGACATGAAAAATCAGAGAAAATATAAATCCTTGCGGGAATCTTTAACCAATAGCCCTGTAGACATTCATTCAATATGCAGCACTAAAAAACAATTAGATTAATACTTACATGCTGTTATAGTTCTCTATTCTCCCTCGGAAAATTCCCGCACCAAGAAACAGGCTGAGGTCAATGAGACACTGGGACGCAGCGGCCGAGGTCAAGGCCACATCACTCTCCTGTGAAAAGTTGTGAAATAGTTAATGGTGCAGTTCTGTACAAAGACAAATGAAAATTATAATAAAACTTAATTTCCCATATATAGTGTAATTCCACGAAGAAAGTGCTCAATGCCCTTAACAATAATACCAAAAAACAAGAAAAACAACAGGAAAAAATCCAAGATCAGCTCTACAGAGCATCATAAAACACTCAAGTCATGAGATTTATTTCCAAATGGGGAAGGATATTTTACACAGATTCTCCATCGACCTATAAGGACATGGACGCCAACAAATCAAAGGATGGCTCTGACAAACAGGACTGAAGCAGCCTGCCTCCTTAAAAAGATCTGTTTATAAACACAAGACATGTCCAATCATTCACAATCAAAAAGAATCATTACGACAATATGGTAATAGTCTTGTGAAAAAGCAAAGCAAATAAAAAACAACTAAAGAATGGTAAAGAAATAGGACCAATCAGTGGTACCCTCCAACCACCCACTGCTGTTTCTGGGTTAGCCTTGAGAAACACCGAGTTCCCAATAAACCCTAACAGTAAAAGGCTGGCACGTTTGAAAGAACTACTGCTAAAACATTTCAAAGTTAATTTGCAAGTGACACTAAGCATATTGTTCATAATTTATAATATGCCTCTGCTTTTTTATCACATACTCCTGTGAGTAGCACAGTTTCAAAAGTTTTTCATTCATGTGGACAGGAGTCTATGGTGCAACGGGTAGGATCTTTGCTGTTGCAAGCAGAAGATGTAAGTTTGATTTCCATGTAGTGAGAAAATTATTCATCGACACATGGCTTGAATTGGCCCTGAAAAGAAACACCGGAGCAACCCACCTCCTACATTATTTAACACACCCTAACTCGCCCGGGAATTCCCTTACGCGCTCCACCCTAACTCGCCCGGGAATTCCCTTACGCTCTCCACCCTCACTTGCCCGCGCCGATTGAGCGTCTTCAGAAACGAAGTCTTGCCTTGACGAGACTCTGGGGCCGAGATTTTGATTTGCATAGTTATTGCAAAAAGTTTGTTCTTTCATTTGATACCGAAACGATTTTAGTATTAGAGCCGAACGAAGTGAGATCGCGTTACCGACACTTCGAAAGTGTCTCGACTTGTTGAAAAGCGACACAATTGAGTTCGAAAAAGGAAATAACGATGGATTTGAGCAAAAACAAGCATCTGACAAATCAGATGACTCAGATTTTGATGAAAACGTTGTAGCAAGAGTTTGGGGCGATTCCGATCGATCAGATGTAGAAAATCTAGAATTTAGATCTAGGGCCCGACCGCGAGTCTGAGAGTGAGAGTGACGGGTCGGACACCCCGATTGAACTAAAGTTAGAACATTTCCAACAGTTTGTGCATACATAAAGTTATATTTTTCTGAAACTACATTCATTTTTCGTTTTAACTTTTATTTTTTCAGGATTTTGGGAATTTGTTTATCACCGGAGGTGGTTCCTTCCCCTTGCTTAGGATCTAACAATGGACTTCCCGTCCAGATACTTAGGGTGTAATGTGTTAAATTGTGTTGATGGAGGCGTAAAAAATGTTCAGCCAGTCAGTCATTTGTGATCCCTTCTTCAAACAGTCTTACCCGTTACAATTGTCACTAACTTCTTTTCATTATACACTTCAAAACAGTTTCTGGTTATACTTGCCACTAGACTTTTTTCCTTTTTAATGCTGTACATCTAAATACCCGAACACCAGGTTAAAATAAACATGTTTTGCAGGAAACATGTAGGCTACTAACCAGAGCATCAAATATGTAGTCCAAGAACATTTCCAAGTACATTTTGAAGGGCCTTTTCCCAAGTCCTTTGGCCAAGTTGGGAAGCTGGAGATAAAAAATATTGTCAATAAAAACTGTAATTCGACTACAACTACATATCCATTTTAACACTAAGCTTCAACTACTACAGTAAGATGAAAGAAAAACCCACCCCAAGGAAAAGAATCAACAGAACATCATCCCGTGAACAACATAACTCAATATTGCAGTTATGATTGACCGACTGTAGTATGTTGTTAGTAAAGCATATTTTTAAGCCAGATAGAAGGAGATGCCGAGTATAAATGGCTCTACATGACAGACTGCAATGAGAAGTGATGAAGAAAGTGCAGCCTCATGCACCTACACAAAAACGATTTTTTGAATCAGCAGCTGCTATTGATAATAAACTTACTTATTGAATAAATTAAAAGGTATGGACCACTGGACCACCGGTACCTGTTGCTCGTTTCTTGCCATTTTTTTGTGTTTTAACAAGTGGGACCACCATACTATTCTGTACTAAATATACGTTTCGCAATTGTTGCAATAGCATGTACATCTCATTTCAGGGATCAAAAAAAAAAGAAAGAAACTTATGACGAAGAAAGAAAATCATCAATATGGCAATATTCCTAACTGCACCGTATACCCCCCCTCCCCCGGAGGGACAAAGGACTTTATTTCCCTAAGCGGCCTTACGATCAGTCAGTCACTGTTTAGCTCACCTGCCTACAGACCGTCTCCAGGAAGTTGTTATAGTGCGTGTAGTCCTTGGTGTTGCAGGCAGTGGCCATGGCAGGGACCAGGTTACCCACTTTAGCAGTGACCGCAGGCACATGGCTCAGCTCTGCTAGGAGGTTCACACAACTGACCAAAGAGAAACAAGTGAGGGATTAGTCATGACTAAAAAAAGAAAGAAGTTCGAACGCTTTATTTAGAAATTCAAGGTTGCAAGCCAATATTTTAAAGTTAAGTATTTTCAAGAGCGTTAGAAAAATTATGTATGAAATGAATATAACATTGCTATAAATACAGTACTGTTTTTTTAAAAAAGTATGACTTTTGCATTCATCTCCGATCTGGAAGGTAAAAGTAAGCTGATAGATGTGAAAACTCCCCCAACATTGTAAGTTCACAAACGCCCCACTGGATGCAACGACACCAAAGTCGAGAAAGAGACTAACTGAACTAGCCATGTGCGCGAGTCAAATTACCAACTACTATCAACCCAGTAGGCCTACATGTTACAAGCAACCTGAGATTTCAACTGTTTCCTTTCAACATGAGTGCCTGGAGCATACATTATATCCTGCATAAACTCCTATGTGCTGAAAGGAGAGCCACAGACCAAGACATAAAAGACTTTAAATCTGGTACCACAACTGAACATTAACGGTACCCTGAAAAATAAAACCTATTTCATTTACTAAAGTTTGAGTGGGGAGAAGTACATCCTGAGCAAATCAATGGAATCATAATCTCCCTCTGTGACATCACTCTCAAATAAACAAGACTCACAACGTGGTCATTTAGAACAGGGAAGAAAGCAAGACCGACTGACAGGGACAGCAGATGGATGGAAAAAAAAGTAAGGCGAACCAAAGGTGTCATCCATCTACCCACATGATGACGGCCATACAACCAAATGAAAAGCACACATATTGTACAAGAGGAAGCATTCAATATTGAAAAAATAACACGAATTTCAGCACAGTTGCCACATGAACCCAAGAATCTATCCAAAAAAAAAAGACACTGGCAAGACAATAATCTACTGCTTCAGCTATTTCAATACCTGTAAAATTGTCAGAGATTAAAAATGTATTTATAAAACATTACCCATCTGCCAGCTCCCAGGGCTCTGAAGGTTTCCGGAACTTGTGGTCCATGCAGCCTCCACCTCGGCCCATCTTGGGGGCCAGCGAGCCACACGAGTACATCTGTGCACAGAAACACACAGTACAAGACACCCTAGTGAGATCAGTTGTGCCAGAGTTTGAAGAGAGACAGAACAATCATAGCCATAAGGAGTAATAATACTTATGAGACCTAGCGTTCAACAACAACTGTTGCAGCACAAGTGAACAGTGTTGCTAGGGAGGAAATCCAATCCACACTTTCATTATACATTAACTTGATGTCTATGGTTCATGGACTATTTGAGGATATGGGAGGTGCTTGCCATCCAAAACCATGACCTGTTTTGATTTTCAGTCAGAGGAGATATAGTCAATTGCCTATTTGAGGACTTTCTCTGGATTTCTTATCCCTGATCTTGGTTTAAGTGGCATCTGTCATTTAAAGCTGGGAAAAAGACAGTAAAGCACCCTTCAACCACCTGCTATGAGGCACCAAAAGCATAGCTTTCTTGGGTAATGGGGGAACAATACACTGATATCACAAGCACATGAAAGTCAGTCTGGTAGCTGAAAGAAAAAAAAAAGTAGGGCTTTCTTGCTAAAATTCAAAACGGGAGAAAAATAAAAATTCAAATGTTATTTACGGACATGAAGAAATCTGAACTCAAACCTACTACTTTAGCCTAAAAGGCAAGCGCTTAACTTCGACAGTAACAGACTAACGAGTCAAATTATGATAACTCTCATTTTACCATCCTCTGAAATAAGAATGTTACAAGACATCAACGTGTCCAACCTGCTGGTCAGTGTGGAGGTCCATGTCATTATCCCTGAGCTGCTTCACCACTCCGTACGTCGCTGGCGTCTTCTCCAGAGATCCATACTTCTCTGATGACGCTGGCTGATCTTTGATTTTTTCAAAACCTTCTTTGATCTTGGCAAACACAGTTTCCTGCTCAGTACCACCTTGTGACAAAAAGAAACACTGCAATTATTTTCACTGAAATATCACTACATAATGGCTAGAAGATTTCATCTGCCATCGAAATATCATATTTTTGTATCCACAAGAATCTGGGAAAACAGAATATCACAATATAAAAGTGAAATGTACTTCAGTCAACAGTAGAATATCAAATGACTGTAGAGAGAAGAATTCATTAACAGAATATCACAATGCAAAAGTAAGCTGTACTTTGGTTGATATCAGATTAAAAACATCAGAGTCAATCCAGGCCTTTAGATGTTTTAAGGAAAATTTCAGTGAATAAAGTTTAATAACTTTTCACAAATCAAACTTCCCTTGAGCTTGCAGAATTTGTGACGACGACTTCTCACCCCCTACACCGAAAAAGCTCATCATGTAAATAAACATATCAAGATTTTCACTCTTTATGACAGGGCACTTAGTTGTAAGCCACAAACTCTGGTGCAGCTGGATAGACAAAAAGTACTCATCAAACATCATTCATTACTGAAAACAACAAGTACAGACAAGAAAAAAGTCATCAACTGTCACCTGAATCACTCAGAACTATGAAATCTGGAAAAAATCTAATAGAACAATTTTCTTAACAGTGGTTCGTGTCACACAACTTTTCACATTTTCACGATCGAACGGCGTAATAAATCATTATTGTACTAGTAGCGGTCTCAAAACTTTACCGGCTTCTTTTAGCAAAGGAAAGATGAAAGTAAGTGAAAACCTCACCATAAGCTTTGATGATGTTGGTGATGGCGACTGCAGCCCCCTGCCTCACAGATGCTATGTTGTCTTGCAGGTTGTTGAAGAACAGTGGGTACAAGGCAGGCAAAGAAGACCTGAAATAGAGAAAAGGAGCATTGTAAGTAGCGGGTACGAGACAGTGTACGCCCTGTTTTTCTCATTTCCCTTCTTATCTTTTGACTGTTCACAGTATTCATTATTTTAAGATCCATCTTTGGAATTTATACTATCCACAGTATTGGTTCACTTGAAAGATTCACCTTCTTCTCATTGAACTCCTCCTATTGTTCACGTATCTTTTCCTCAAACAGTTCAAGAAATCAAAACTAGAAATTTCTAGAATCTAGCCTTAACTAGAAATACCACAAAAGGCATAAAACAAGAGCAAGGCTAAGGCTTTCATCTAGATGTCTTGCAGCAGAATGAAAGCAAAGAGTAAACAAGGAATGGCAGTTTGTGCCCCATCTCTTTTTAAGATTTCCATTTTATCTCTTCTGAACAAATTAAAACTTTGTTCCAAGAGACAAAATTCTCTTAGTGGTATTTCTTTGTTCTTGACTCTCCCAAGTCATCCCTACCCACCCAAGTGGATGGCGGAGTAACAAATCAACTGTGCTGCGGCTCTAATGTTTGCACAGCCGACCAAACATTGTCAGTTTAGTTAAGTTAGGCTTTTACGGAGCTCGCAGCTGCATAAGGTCATATGAGCACGCATTTACTGTCAGGTGTATATGTGAGATATTTACTTTTGAGTTAAAACTCTGTCATTTTCCCTGTTTGAAATCATTGGGCCTCTATGTATTTCTGCCAGGATGTCTCCTCCCTCGTAGGCAAAAATGAAGAATCATACCTCATAAATGATCAAAATTGTGTTGATGGGGGCATAAGACATTTACTTATGTTAATCATCTCGTTTTTTTACTATTAAAAAAATTACTCATCTTCGAAACAACTAATAAGTGTTAAGTAAGACATATAACGCACACAAAGGCAAACAAACAATCATTCTAAATATTTAGAATACGATGACTAGAAGTATGGCTATCTCCATCTTTAACATCTGCATAATGAAATCATATGAAAAATGGTACTCTAGAAAAAATGAAAAGCTGACTTACTTTGACTCTTCAGGGAAACAAAGGACAAAATGGCCGCAGGCAATGCATGCCGCTGAAACAACAAGAAAGGAAAAACAACAAAGTTAATATTTTGTAGATGACAGCCAAGCAACTTTTTTTTTCGTGAACTGGGATATAAAACCAGGTGTCAAATTGTTATAAAATGACATGTTTATCTTGTCTTGAAAACATATTCTATATAATAAATAAACTTCCAGTTTTAATAATCTCACTATAGAAACTGGTTCGATATCTTGGAACAGCCAACATACCTTTCAATAAACCTTGTTACACTGTCAGCTTCCCATTTTAAGGAGGTAACATTTTCAGATTCCATAGAAAAGAAGTAATAACTTCAAATATGGATGGCTGTGAAAGCACATATTGAGATACTTTCCCCGGAAGTCATGGAATAGTTAACCCTTAAGACATTCATGACATATTTTAGGAGAAAGAAAAAGACACCACAGCATCAAAGATACTCACCATCTCTAACTGGCCAGCTGTCGTCGTTGAAACAAATGAGAAGAGTCTCTAAAAGTTTCGCCACATGGGGACTCACACAGCCTTTCTCAATCTGGTTACAAAAAAAAAGCACAGACAGAGATTAACCCTCAGAAAAGCAGATTTATTTCTTATTACAAAGACTAAGGGAAAAAACAAAATGCCTTGTATCGCATAGGTGATTAACGGTATATTAGCACACCTCGATAAGTGGTCTGAGTTTAATTTAAGGCATATTATCACATTCACAATACTTTCCTACATGTGAACAATGAAATGAAAATTCCACTTCAGAAAGAGTTTGAAACAAACTATCAACTGAAACAAAAGCCTTTAAAAGAGCCTATTAGATTACAAAATTCAAATTAAGCACACTATAATTATAAATTATTTTGTAAAGAGAGGTGAATTGCATAGTTAGAGAAACAAAACTCTATACAATGTCATACATCATTCTTAAAGAGAAAAGCATATTGCCAGCCAGCTGTTCAGATGTATTAAGCCTCAAAATTTTGAAACCATTATTTATTGATATCAATGCAGTTTCTTCATCAGTGGCATTGGTTGCATGTGCTCAAGTAATATTTTGTCCACATTCAAATTCTACATGTTGAAAAAAAAAGCAAGAAAAGGTATATAATGTAGGTACAATTGTCAAAAGAATGAAACAAGTTTTATCTCTCCTGAAAAATTTTGCTTTCTGGGTCTAGTGCATTTGAACAGCTTTTTGACGATATAACTCTAGCACCTAATGCACACAAAACTTGTCTGCGTCCTCCATCAACAAGAGACTGGGGGCTTACCTTAGACCCGAGTTCTGCAATACAGGCACAAGCTGCTTCTCTCACTGCGTGGTTGTCCGAGTCAGTCGACTCAACGTAGTAGCCAACCTTAAAGCACAGCAACAGGTACAGATAAAAGGAGATGTACTTTTAGCTCACTCCAAAATTTATTTTGTTTATGCTAAGAGTCCTCTAAAAAACTAAAACAAATTTAAGTACACCCTTATATCCATACACCATATGCTGAAAAGTGTGAAACAAAATATTGAAAACTAAAACCTGAGAAGAAAATCCAAATCTTTCTATGGAAACAGGTTGAGAAATGGTCATTAAAAATCAGTCTTGCCCCACTGATTCAAATTCAGTGCTGGGAAAAAAAAAGTGAAATGGTAAAGTAGATTTAGACAAACATTCACATCCATCATCTCAAAACCTATATCCAATTCTGCTTGGAACATATTCACTGAATGAAAGGCAAATACTTACACACTAAAACTGGGCCTCTCAAGGTTGTGTCAAGAGTACCTAACATCTTAGCTAGATTTTGCAATGCTGAACCAATATGATGTCAATCAGATAATTGATGGGCACACTAGAGAGGTCTTTTCCATTATTTCTGACCAGTGTTGCTATTGTTCTGATACGTTCTTAGTGAAGTGAGCTGCTATCATGCAGACTAGCCATATAAAACTTGGCTTTCAAAGTTTACTCACAACATCAGTGATGAACTTTTCCACGAGAGCCTTCCCCTCCCCATGTGTGATCTGTCGCCATGTCTCCTGGGAGTATATCCTCACACCTTCTGCCACGTAATACCTGAGGAGATGTCACACATACAAATGTTCCACACTGATGACGGTGAATGATTTAGTACACCCATTCCACATGATCATGCTTTTCAAAGACAAAATCACATACGAGTCACATGTCAGATCATTATTAAGGTTATTATTTTTAGCCTCAGAGTGTCAAAGTGGGGCTGAAAAAAGTGGGACTGTTGAGTCTCTCCGCAGGGGTAATATTAATTAGCTAGTAATCCCCGAGTAAGTGAAAGTTAAAAGAAACTCGATCTGAAACAAAGTCACAAGTAACTGGACTATTTGTATCAAGGGAGACATTTATAGTAACAACATTCATAACAACACTGTCCATGACTGGGACAGTTTTTATATTGAAAATTCAAGAGAGTATTTCTAAAAAGAAGTAGAAAGCTATTTTTTATCAAAAACAGAAGGCAAATAAAATTAAAAGTTATTCTAACAAAAAACCAGAAGGCAATAACATTGAAAGGTTGCATCAAGTTTTATCAGTATAATGTATGCAGATCTCAACAGTTCAATACCTGTTCAAGCACATGCGAGGGATGAGAACAGGGTAGAACTTGCTCCTGGCGTCGTCAGAAGGGAGACTCACCAGGAACTGTCTTGTAGCCACAGAGCCTGCCATGCGCACCTTTTCACGACAAGAGACAAAAAACATTGCCATTGGAAAGACAGAATATAAGTACCATTGCTTCAGTAAAATGTTCTCAAGAGCATTTTTCTTTTCTTTCATGGAATACTAACTCTCAGCTCACATACGTGCATACACGCTTAAATCACTGACTTTTGAAAAACAAATTCCAAATATGCGCTGCCGAAAAACTCATCTTCAGTCATGTTCATCTCCATTTCTGAAGTTCTCTTTTGAAAAAACCCATACAAATGCATCCATTACATGCTACGTTTTGCAAAAACATCTGAAGGTATTTTACTTTCAGTAAAAAAAAAAAAAGACCTTCATAAAGTAAATCTATGAAAAACTAATCATGGACAGAAAATACCAACTAATTTTAGTACTGAGCATTGTCATCCCTTTAATCTGCTCACATACACCTAACCACAAAATTTACCTAATCTTATACAAAACATCTTCGAATCCAAACTATGAACAGTTATGAATACAATCAAAAAGTTTTCACAAATGTGTCGGTCCCAACAATGTAAAAGAAAAAAAAAAAATATGAAGCAAACCTGACTCCAGTTGTCCGCAAGGCCTTTCCCCAAATACTCAGAGAAAACTTTACCATGCCGATAGATAGCATTTTCCTCAGTCAACTTTGCTTCACTGTCATTTTCAGCTGGAAAAGGTGGTTTCATAAATGTATTAGAATTTATTACCATATACCATTTACAATCTGAAATGCAACTTCATCATCCTTGGACTTATGCTGCAAAAGCTGATGTAAACTTGTCAATGTTATATCAGTTTTTACCAAGATAGTCCAAACATTGTTTACCACCCATGCTTCCTGTCGTTACTTGAAAAGCAGTTAAATGTATCCGCCCCACACTGCCGATTGCTTCAATATTAGAAGTAAAAAAAGCTATCGATTTTGTAGTGACTCTAGTCCCATAACTTACTTTTGCACACTCATAGAAAAAACCCCCCAACAACTGAGACCGCACAAACACTTAATTAACACAGCAGGTTGGAGACGGGCCCTTCAGTGTGGCCTGTTCTTTCTATTTCTTTTCAGAGCTTACATTGTCCAGCTCTATTAAAGGCAAAATGTGGCCATTGTACGGGCATCTAGCTTCAACCACACACCCATATGAATACACTTTTGAAACCTGCAAAAAGCTTTAGAGACTAGTTCATTCATTGTATGTTTACAGTATGTCTCTAGTAAAAGGGAATAATAATAATACTTGTGATACCGTGCCTACATTTAACAAACTAAAAGCTTCCAACTTATCTTGCATTCCGCTCAAGTCAACAACATACCAGTATTTTCCCGTAAGCTGACAAAATGCATAAAACAATAATTCTAAGCAGTTTCGAGAAACAGAGTTTTTTTGTCAGCGTAACCATGTAGAAATAGCATTCTTCTGAAATTTGAATTCTAATTTATTAAAAAACAAGTTAAAGTTTCACTATGGTTTTTTCCACACAATTAGGGTAACTGATCAGGCTTTCGATTTAGCAAATTAAAAAATTGGCGCTAAGCTCAAATGAAAAAAAAAGTGTTTTGTCAGCTTACGGCAGTATTGTTAAGTCTACTTAATATTACCCTGAGTGAATTCCATGACATGTCAGATCTTCAAGACCCCCATGGGTCTAAGAGGGCCCCTGATCTCCTAATGAAGCCTCCAAATACAAACAAGCCGAAAAAGTACAGTAATCGAAAATAACCCTTATGCCAAAGCAAAAACCAGGTCAACTTACATCCAGTTTTTGCGCCACAGGTCACCAGCGCTCCACAAACATAATAGCCCGTCTCACGGACAAAGCGGTTGGTATGGGTCAGCGCCTCAAAGATGAGATCCAACAGCTCTTGGTCGACGAAGGGATTAAACTTGTTGCCGCAACCTAATATCACACTTTGAAGGCACCTGAAACAAGATTACTTTTTCGTTTGACTGGGAGCAATATTAAAAAATACAAAATTGCCCAATAAAACATAATTTTTAAAATATTTAAAAAATCAGGATTACATCAGGGGCTGGACAAAAAATGAGAAATTGTATATAGAAATAACTAAAGAGAAAAGAAAAAGAACCTATCACTAGCTCTTTATAATATTTTGGAACTTCATGAAATCAAAGATTTACACTTTTTTTCAAGGTATGATACACAGGTAACACAGGTTTTTCATTTGTTTTTTTGTCAGTATGTTAGTGTTTTAGCCCCTGTAAATGGCTGCTTGTACAGTATGCTTCCCAGGAAGTTGAGGTTGTTTCAGAATGCTCTCAGGTCTGCTGGGTAAATAATATAGATTGTGACACGCATAGAGCTTTGCGATATACAAATGCTATCTATTATCTATATTATTCTATGGGAAAATGGAAATGGGCATTATTCAGGTTGACATACTAATTTGTAGAGTTCCACTGAAGCACTACGGTTTTCACTTCTACTTGTGACTAACATGGGGTGTTTTTTTAACTCACAGTAAAAAAGTGGTACACCTAGGTGATGACATACATGATTGCCTGTTCACACATTTTAACCCCATCCACACCCTCGATTTAATTGAAGTATATAAATAAACAACTATGACTGGAAAAGCACATTTTCTCTACCTAATTTGAATACACATTTTCGCCATTTAAGTACACTTTGAATGTCTTATTTATCTGGTATTCATGACAAAACCTTGCAAAAGACACCCACAGTGTAATTAACTAAAATAAACACATTACACACAGCACTTTCCAAATGACATAGCTTATCAATTACTCTGTTTGTCTTATTTGTCACAGAAGGAAAAAAGGCCTCACATCCATGTTCATCTTTTGTAAATGGTTTGGTTTGTATACTGAACTCAACCTTATTGAAGACAAATAAACAAGTGAAAAACTTCCACCATTACAAAAAAATAAAATAAAAGATAAAACAGTTAAAAACTTACTTCATATATGTCTCTAGTGACTTCCATCCAGCTGTGTCATGGAAAATTTGTGAAGCATCACTAGACCTCTGCAGAAAAATAGAAAGAGAATTACAGGTTTATGAGGAGGTTTTAAAGACACACTTTTACACTTTTGGGATCTCCAAAGAGAATAAATCGCAGGGTCCTAGTGTGCACAAAAATCAAGTCCATTATATGACACCAGCCATTATTTTAGTAAATAAACAGACTTCTATGCTTCCTTAGGCGTCCTAAACTGTCTGAAACTGAACATGAAATATGGCAGAATTTTAAATTGTTTTCTTTTCCCTCCTCTGAATTCTATATTACTGTAACACACAGTTGTCTTTTTTTTTCTTCAAAACAATAATAATTAATAGCATAATTTTTTTTCCAGCTAATCAATATTTACTTTCAACTTTCAAAACTTAGATTCACATCAAAGAGGCAAGTACAACAAAGTTTTTGTGTTGTCCTAATAAAGCAGACTACAATTTGACAATGAGAGCGAAAACAAACATAAGGACAGGAGGTTTTACATTAAAGTCATGTTGTCACTGATTATATGCAGGTATTAATGATGATGGTACACACAACTTCCATTGTTGGTTCAACCTCAAAAGAATTTATAAACTCATTTTACGTCATAGCAAAGACAGTGATATAATAATTCATAGTTTTGTAACGAACCACTCTGCAGTTAAATTCAGCAATTTTACTTTTGTTGGGAGGAATAACTATATCATCATTCATTTAACAAATGTCAGAAGAAAACCTCCCAAACTCACCCGTTCAATGAGCCTTGCACTCGTATTGGGGGAGCTGGACAAGATACTTTCAGGCTGTTGGTTGGAGGAGTCGACCATGTCGTCTGGAGAGCTGTCTTCCCCAAGCCCATGTCTCTCCAAGTTGGAACGGATACCATCAAGAATCTGACTTTTACTCTTTTCATACACGTCAGGTCCAAGAATTTTACACAGAATACCTAGAAGTTCACCTGAAAAGAGACAAATTCGACACCTGAAGGGGGGAAGGTTAAAAATAATTACAGACGAACTTGTTTCAGACGACCATCCGTAGATGAGGAGAAAAGCAGTTGTCTCGGTTGTCTTAGACAGGTGGATGTCTTACACAGTGTCATTATAATGTAACATAGTAAATTGTAAATACTAAGCCAGGGAGGAAAGGGAAATGGCCATTTTGTACTGTTACAGGTGGCCGCTAGAGCAGGTTCAATGGCATGTCAGAGGAATTTCTCGTGTGAGAATGAATATATTTCACATTTTATAATATACATTCAGTGCACATGGAGAGTTAATCATAATAAGCTGTTCATACCAATGATGCAGGGAGGGTCAGTTTAGATAGATCTAGTTACTGGATATTAAAGCTCACTTCTCGACTGTTATAATTATAATCGAAAAAATGTTCGTATATTGGAAATATTTAGGAACAAGGGTCAGAAGTCAGAATGGACGTCATGCTTAACTCAATTCAGAGTCCGAATATAATTTTTCTCTATTCGGACTGTCATTTTTGAAATCCCTATTATCATGGCTGAAGCAAATGAAGTGAGCATGATGTGATCATCATCATCACTGCATTCCAGTTCCTCATATCTACCTGGGTCAATTTGTTCTAGTATAATTTCATTGAACAAGCATTAACTCTAGTCCTGCGGGGTTAACCGGAAGAGGGCCCCTACCGATCGATGACCCACTAACGTCGCCCGCGAGCTTGTGCCGCGGGGCGCCGGGGTCAGACACCGGTCACGCGAGCGTGCCGCGGCAGGTCAGGGAAACACCTCATCTTTTATAGCAAACTGATATGATCAATGAATAAGTGTTACGATCACACGAATAATCCCATTATCTCCTCGTCGGTTGATCAGAAACGCTGAGATTGGAAGTTACACCAAATCGAATAACTTTTCCAGATTTCACACCTATCACACCTATTATGAATGAACTTGTGAACAGTTGCTTATCAGCTATCGTTCGAAAGAGGAAAAAAATGGGATAATTTCCGAATATTTTTTTTATCCAGTTGCTCTCAAATTTCTCCCTCTGGTAGGACAATGGTTCAAAAACCACCAAATATGATTATTTACATCAGGAAACAACGTTTGGTGTAAGAATTGGATCGTTTGAAAAGTGAGGAAAGGTGTTTGCATTGAAAGATGAAAGTCCTATTTCCTGAATATCCTTTCGAGTCCCTCAAGTGTCTAACTGGGTCAAAATGCTCATATTTCATTGGATGAACGTCTCAACCGACGCTCTGTTATCTCTACCAACGCCTCGCATTGCAAAACAATGCAGTAAGTTCCAGATGGACACACAGGCACAAGCAGACTGACGCACACACATTTTAGCACACAGATGCAGACCCCGCACTAAACGAAATGTGTTGCCCACGCGGGACGACGACTGATCAGGGACCAGCTGTGGAGCGCCGCGCGGGATTGCGTTTATCGGGCAAACATTTATCAGGGACCAGAATCTTAAGGTTAAGAGCAACCAATGTTGCATGTTCCAAATGAAACATATATGCACACAGTTTCAAAAAGATGCAAATGTTTCAAATGCAAGAAGTAGCCAGAGAAACGCATAGAGGTTTACACCACAACAAACCACCAGACCGACGACATGCACACACACACATGCAGTTCAGCTGCGAAACACGGAACTTGCAATACTCAGTTATTGGCAAAGACTACTCAGCACCATCATTCATACATCTAAAGCAAACCATGCTGCCTCCGCAATCCATTGAGAAAGCAAAAGGGGCAGAATACGCTCACCAGTGCACATGGATAAGGGACCCACTGGATAGTGATTAGTAGGGGTAACATTTAAACCATTTTTTAACTCTGGTCCTGCGTCTGTGCTGAGATGCGAATCTTATCAGCAACCGATTATGTCGGACATTCCAGGCAGGCCGCCGGGGTCACTCAGTGTGTACTGTTGGTGTACAGCGCGCGCGCGCCGGGAAACGTGTGTTTTCGTCCTGAATATCGTGAGAGTGTGTTAATCGATGATGAAAATAACGCTCCATCTTTCATAGCTTTCTATTTATAAAGTGTTACAAACACATAATAACCCCCTCTCACAAGCTGATAAGATATTACGAGTAGTTACGCCCATTCGAATAACCTTTCTAGATGCTCTTGTTGTTATCATGAATGACCTGAGGTTCGAAAGGGGATAAAATGTAAGGTCACTTTTTGAATGTTTTGCACTCAAATTGTTCTTTGTACCTGCACAGTGGTATTCAAAACTATCAAACAAGCTTATTTTTTATCAGGTAGATCTAGTGTCATTTCATACAAAATCAAGCTCATTTGAAAGATTTTGTATAGAAAAATGGAAGTCTTGTTTCCTGACTATCCTTTCAAGCTAGCTCCTCATATCTAAGTGGGTCAATTTCTTCTACAATTTCATTGGACGAATATCTAGAGCTACCAACTTGGCGTGTTTTGAATGAGACGTATGCCTCGATTACGAACCAACGCAGGTGGTTCTAGAAGAAGGCAACAAATGCACACAAACTCAAGCAGACTGACGCACACACACTTGACCTAGCATACGTGAATGGGGATCCGACGTGGGACCCCAATTTCACGTGAGATGATGCTCGGTGCGCGTGTGCTGAGCCAGGGACTAGACTGACTCGGGACCAGAACGCAGGCGAGGTGCCGAAACAGGCGACATAAACCCAGCCCCTGCAGGACGAGGGTTAAACATGGCACAAAGACGTCAAAGAGAAGGGAACCTTTTGACTGGATGAGCCATTGCCATTGGACTCGTTAGAAGAGGACTTCTGTAACGAGCGACCACTTTGAGACAGAGTAGAATTGAGGGCTAGGGGTAGGGTAGGGTTAGGGATCTTTTTTATGTGTTTGTTGGGGTGGTCGCTCGTTACGGAAGTCCTTCCCTCGTTAGGCTGCTCGACATTAAAGATGATGCTGATAATGAAACGTACCTGCAGCAATTCTGACCCGAAACTCATTGTGGTCTAGTAGTTCTGTGGACCTGTCGATTAAGGAAAAGGCAAACGCTTCTTGACTGTTATCGATGTCATCTCCGTCATTCACATTGTTCCCGAAATTCAGCCTTCTCTGTTCCAGGACACAGCGAGAACCACTGAGCCCACCATGCCGAAACTCCCACCCTCTGTCATCCTCTTCCAATAAATTCAAGAGGTCGTTCTGGATGTCGCTTACTGTTTCGTCTTCACACTGATTCAAAAAAGTTTTTAGCTCATTGAAACCTCTGTCTCTATCCAACTTCGCTTTGCTGCAAAGCTTGTTGATGATTTCCCTCGCCATTTTGACAATTTTGTTGTTTGCGGAAGTTACTGTGGTCGTGATCGGATTCGCGTAATCAAATCGATTGTGATTGGGTGAAGGTTTTATATACAACCAATTAGAGGCACTGTATTATCCGTAAACAGAATTTCGAAGAGCTTCCGTAATTTCTTGAACAAGAGAGTTCTGTTTTTAACTTCTAGTGGCACGCTTGAGTGCGGTGTTTTTCTTGAAAGTTTGTAGTCATTAGCAGATCTTAATTGTTTGATAAAGCACCACTGGTTTCAGACATGGGGGTGCCAGCCTTTTTTCGATGGCTCAGTCGGAAATACTCGTCTCTGATTGTGAACTGTGTGGAGGAGAAGGTACAGTTTGCATGAGGATCTATTATCGATAATAATGTTTACCCTGAGTCCAAGCCGGGAAATTTAGTCAATCTTCTAGATTCTAGATCTAGATTCTAGATCTAGATATAGACTCTAGTAGATTCTAGACTCTACTTCTTATAAATCTACTGTTCTGGAAAACGTTGGTTTGACCAGGCAAGGCCTTGTAGATCTAGTTGAAGGTCATGTTACGATTCTCCCTCAAATTGTTTTAGTGCTACTCCCTCACCCCTGGTCCTTCCCTCTGATTAAACGTAGAAAGACGCAAACTATATTTAGATCTAGGTACGGCGCCCATCTTGTTTGACGTCACACCAGGATACCCCTCCGATCACGTGACTACATCTAAGTATAGCCAACTGCATGGCACCAAAGATGGAAATGTGTATGTTAGCCGTATGGCCACCTCTATTCTCACCCGGAGTGAGAATAGTGCAGGCGAGTCTTGTGGCTATTCTCACCCGGTGCGCGTTCACCCTAAACCACAGAATTCTACACTGTGATAACAGAAAAATTGTAGAATTCTCTGCCGTGAACAATACAAACGTTCCATTTCAACTGTAGCCTACTAAACTAAAACTAAAAGCGTACAATTTTGTCTGTGGGCAGTGGAGAAAGAGAGAGAGGAGTAGCGCGAGAATTTCCGGGCAAAACAAAATGGCGACCCGCGTAGTTCGGCTCGATTCGAAAAGTTAAATAGCTGTAGCATCTTTGTAGACAACCAAATTAATTTACTTTTGGGTTTTAACATCATTTTTTAACTTTGTTTTGGTCAATTTGATCGTCCACACCGATAGACAGTATTCAGAAAGAGAGAGAGAGAAGAGGGGAGGAGTTGAACTTGCGAGAACTTCCGGGCGGGTGAGAATAGCCACTTTCTAGCCGTATAGGTATAGGCCTACATGTTATAACGCTTTAACTTTAGAGGTAGCGTCAATTGCCACCGAGTGACGCAGTGGCAATTGACAAAAATTGACTTTTTGTCAATTGCCACCGAGTGTTCAAGCGGTGTCACGTCTGAAAACAACTCTATCTTTAGCATTTATACATTATACATGACATGTGTGTCTATTGGGTCAATTTGTTCTCAACTAATTTCATTGGACGACAAGATCTAGTCTAGTCTACTCTAGAGCTACGGTACCAACTTGGCGTGTTTTCAATGAGACGTAGACCTAGATCTAGGCTAGCCTTAGCCTACACTTTGCTGTAGAACCAACACAGGCAATTCTAGAAGTTCTAAGGTCACAAACTCAGCAGAAATTCACGTTTTATCGGGGAACATAAATCGGGGGATGGGGGTCAGGAAAAGACACACTCACACACACACACAGAGGGACAGAGAGGCGAACGCACAACACCGAGCACTCGAGCATCGAGCACAATAAGCTAGATCTACCCACCAACGCAAAAGAGCTCCAATTAACTCGGTGGCAAGTAGTCACGTGATCGGAGGGAAATCCTTGTCTGACGTCAAACAAGATGGGCACCGTACCTAAAAATAGTTTGCGTCTTTCTACATTTAATCGCATGTAAATATTGCAAACAAGTCAATCTGTCTTCAGAAGTCAGAAGGACTTCTGTAACGAGCGACCATCTCAACTAAAACAATAGAATCTAAGAGACCTGACCCAACCTCAACGGTCAACCCCTGGTACTCTTGTACAATTGCGGTCCCGTTTGCACTTTATCTAAGGCCTAAAGAAGTGGCTATCCTCACCCCGGGTGAGAAAAAAAACCGAAGTGGCTAGCCGTACTTAAGTACGGCTAGACTGAGAGTCTAGCCGTACTTAAGTACGGCTAGACTGCCAGTCTAGCCGTACTTAGATCTAGGTTTGGCCCTATCGACTCAAGTTCAAGCCTGTTAAGTACACAGGTCTCATTAGATCTAGATCTAGTAATTATTCAGGTTCAAATGCATGCAAGTCAGTAAGGCACCTTTTTGTTTTGTCTGAAATACAAATACTTTAGGCATTGCAAACTAAAAATTTCATTTACAATTCAGCCATCAATATTAAGTACGGCTAACCTGACAGTCTAGCCGTCCTTAAGTACGGCTAGAGGCCCTATTAACATTAGAAAACAGGAGGTTTAAAATACAAATACATGCACTGTCATTAAGGCACCTGGTTTCGTCTCAAATACAATACTTTAGGTACTGCACACTAAAAATGTATATATTTACAATTCAGTAGGCCTAATTTTTTGTTAAATGGTCAGTCTAGCCATCATATTAAGAATAAGTACGGCTAGACTGCCAGTCTAGCCGTCATTAAGTACGGCTAGCCTCTTCCCAAAAAAAAACCGATCGACCTCACCTCGGGTGAGACTTGCCAGCGTTGGTTTTCTCACCCGGTGTGAAACAAGACCTGTTTTTCTTAATTTCTGAATACTCTATTCTCACCCTCTGTTGAGTCAATGGGGCCTAACGTAGATCTAAGCCAGTCTAGCCGCTAGCCACTTCGTTGACAAAAACAAAGATAAAAAATGATGTTGAAACACAAGAGTAAATTAATTTGGTCGTCTACAAAGATGCTACAGCTATTTAACTTTTCGAATCGAGCCGAACTACACGGGTCGCCATTTTTTTTTGCCCAGAAATTCTCGCACTACTCCTCTTTTCTCTCTCTCTTTCTCTCTCACTGCCCACAGACAAAATTGCATGCTTTCAACACAAGAGCTCTGGAACATTTGTTCACGGTGAACGTTATACACTGGGTGAGAATAGCCGTAAGGCTCGCTTGAATAGAGGTGCCGGCCTTGCACTATATTGCACTACTAGGCCTAGCACACAGTACTGTCCAGATTATATCAATACTGATTTAATAGTCGGTATCTAGGTCTATCTATGTTTTATCAGTAGATCTAGCCAAGAAAATGAGTAGTAAATTTCACTTCTTGTTTTAAAGGCAAGGGGGGTTTCAGAGGGGCTTGACCTAACAAAAACAAAACATGGGGGGTTTCAGGGGGGAATGCCCCCCTGAATTTGACCATGATTTGATGTTCTGCTATTAGATCTAGGTTTGATAGGCTATCTCTCCATATATCGGCACGCGCATCAAAATGTAATTGTTTGGAACCAGAATTAATCATCGGTGGAGTCTAAACTAGTATCCCCAAACGGGACCGCAATTGTACAGGAGTGCCCAACCCGTAACCCTACCCCAACCCTTACTACCCTAGCCCTATCCAAACCTAAACCTACCACTAAACCTAACCTAACCCTCTATTCTGCTGTTTCATAGTGGTCACTCGTTATGAAATTCCTCCCCTTTTTTCATTTTACTTTTGTTGTTCTCCTTTTTTGGTGTAACTCCTATTGTCTTATTGTGTGGCAAGTGCTGTGAAAGTCTGATTAAATCTACAAATATACAGAGTGCTGGACTTGCTTGATCCTGGCAGCAATAAATCCTGTTTCTCTCTCACTGTCTCTCTGTCTTGTTTTGTGTCCTCGTAGTGCACATCAATTTATGTTAGAAAAGTTTACCATTGTAGTTTTCTTCTTTTCACAATTAAATCATGTGCCTCCTTGCAGCCTCGTGATGTCAGTGGTGTAACAGTGCCTGTTGATACAAGCAAACCAAACCCGAATGACATAGAGTTTGACAACTTGTATCTGGACATGAATGGCATCATTCACCCTTGTTGTCATCCTGAAGACAAGTAAGTCGTGTCCTTAAAGACTACTTTAAGTAAATTTAAGTTTGACCAGCAGGTTGTAGACGTATGGTCATTAGTAGATTTGAGTTTGATGGTAGCATTGTTAAAAGAATAGGAAAGATTGTAATGTAAACCCAGAGGCATGGTGCTAGCCTTTCATGCAAGTACCTTGTTGATTCGAAGTTCTGAAAAGGCTTTGCCAATGGATTGCTGTGGATTTTTCTTTCACTTTCAGGGTTTTCCAAGCTCTGATATTATGGACAAACAACTCTAAGGTCCTGTGTATTTTGAGAGGAAAGGGGAATGTTAAATTCTGTTTTAACCTGAAGAAGAACGAAAGCACTGAAGATGTGTAGCTTTTTATATTTTCTCTTCACTTGTCTTTTTTCGGTCTTTGTGGAATTTCTGACTGTAGCCATGATGACTGCATATTATTATTAGTTAATACTTAATTAAAGCATTGCCTTTGAGGTATTGACCAAGAAATGGCTTGAAGAATTGTATAAAGTAATATAAAAACTAAATTGATACTACTTTGTGGTCAGAGTTTTTGTAACGGATTTATATGATATGAAAAGTCATTATTTCCTTAGTGAAACCTTCAAGACAGCTCAGTCGCCTACTCAGTCTGGGAACTGTAAAAACATTATTCTTATTCAATGTTCTAGTCTCCTCTACAATGTTTGCTGCCATAATCATAAAGCAGGAATATAATGGTAATTATATTATATGAGAAGGTCATTGATCATGATAAACCCCAAAGTGTAAATAAAAAAAGATCCAAACTATAGCACAAGGTCTTGTAGACGGGGATGTATTTTTAAATTTTTTATGGCACCTGTTCTTTTAATCAAAATAATGCAAACAGGTAAATATGAAATAAACAAACTTGTTTTCTACACTCCCAGGCCTGCCCCCAAGAATGAGGATGAGATGATGATCCTCATCTTTGAGTTCATTGACAGAATTTTCTCCATTGTGAGGCCGAGACGTGTTCTGTACATGGCTATTGATGGAGTGGTAAGTCCTTGGTGCATTAAAATGGAACAGTAAAAAATATGTGTAAGGAACTCCTTCAATTTCTTTTGACTTTAGATTGTTTTTGTTTTTTCCTCTGTTTTATTTCATTCAGAGTTCTATGCAAGTAAATTCTAATATTCAGTTTGTTCAGATTAAGGAGAATGTGGTGAGAGGGTTTAAAAATAATTCTGTTACTCATTTTAACTCCTGTAACCAACAGTGGTCATTTTGTGTGATTTCAAGATGTTCCTGCAAAGTGGGTAATTGTATCTTTTGCTATGAATAACCTAGCTGTGTCTATCTTTTGCTCTAAAGCTTTGGTTTGACTGAAACATTTTTAGTTTTTATTTTTACCAAAAAAAAAACAAATTGTGTGTGAATGCTAATTTGAAATGTTTTTTTCTTTCAGGCGCCTCGTGCGAAAATGAACCAGCAGCGGTCACGTCGCTTCAGAGCCTCCAAGGAGACAGCGTAAGTTAATTCTTTAATTTTCTACCTTGTTCTATTTTCTGTCTGAACTTACCCGTAATGTCTTCTTCCTTACTGTACAGACTGGGCTGAATATAGAGCTTTATTCGTTACATAATGTAAAAGTGATACTTTTTATTCCTATGACTTCAAGGAAATTTAAGTTTAATCATTATTTTTTTTCATCATCGTAAATTTGAACGTTTCAGGGAAAAGATTGAAGATATGAGTCGCATCCGTGAAGAAGTTTTGAGCAAGGGCATGTACCTCCCTCCAGAAAAACCAAAAGGAGAACATTTTGACAGTAACTGCATCACGCCGGTGAGTATTTCTTGAGTCCTTTTTCTCAAAAATGCTTGTTGTCCACTTTTAGAAAAGTGTCTTTACTCAGTTGGGTAGCTTTTGTGTGGATACTTGGAATTTTTCTTCCATTGACAGTATGATATTGTATGAGTTTAATGTATCAGAAAAAAACCCCATCACTATAAGATGGTTTAAGAAGGTGGGACCTCTTAATTAGGTGCCCACCTCAAATAAGATTGAGCCAGAGATGGATTGAGGACCTTGGAAACTCCCCAAAAAGCCCAAGTTCAGGAATGTCCATTTTTGGTTTTTGAACCGGGGTTGTCTGCACCACAGTCCAGCATGACATCAATTGAGTTTTTTGTGTGACCTTCTCTGTAATAACTTTTCTAAGACGGGAATAAGAAAATATTTGTTGTTTTGTTTTTCAGTAAATGCTCTACCATTCTTTACTTGATAATTTTTAAAATTTTCCACTGTTTATTTTTTTTTGTTTCAAGCTCTCACAAATATTGCATAATGTTGCAAATGTGTTGTAGGGATCACAGTTTTCCGCGGATCTGTGATTTTCAGCGGTTGCGAGAACTTCCCAAAATCGGCTCTGTGGTCTTAACCGCGCCGGCGGTCGTTCCCTTAAGTTGGGCCATGATAGGCCTTGAGTAGCCTGAGATCTGCCCTAAAGGTTAAGGTTAGGAAAGTAAGTGAAATGTATCTATTTTTTTGCATTTTTTGAAGTAATGTGGAAAGGTGGGGTGCACAATATACGGAAGTCTATCAGCTCGACCGTCAAAGTTCAGGGATTTGCGGAAAATTTCACTGATCGGTGGTTTTGTAGAATGAAAGAATGTGTTTCTTTGCTTATTGTTTTCAAAATGCATCTTTTTTTTAAGGGTACACCGTTCATGTTCAAGCTGGCGGAATGTCTCAGGTACTACGTTCACGACCGCATTAATAATGACCCTGGCTGGCAGGGAATCAAGGTCATTTTGTCGGATGCTAACGTGCCTGGCGAGGGAGAGCATAAGATCATGGATTACATTCGCAGGCAGAGAGGTATGTTGGTATCCATGATTTCGCTATTTGCTGGTGAGAGAATGTTGTTATTTGACATTTTTAAAACTTAAGACCTGAAAGAATATTATTTTGTACTATCTAGGGGTCGTATGTGGTGAGTGAACACAGGTTCATAAAGAAAGAATCTCAAAAATTTTGATGACAACAATTGTTACTTGAATGACTACCTCAGAGTTTCTTTGGGCTCGACATATTGACTGTAGCCCAGAATGGATGGGGTTTTTTTTCTCTTGTGACTGGCTATTTTCACTGTGTATTGGTATGCATGGTTAAGATGGTTTTATAGTATTTTTTCATATCTAATATGTACTGGTGTAATAATTACAGTAATATTGTGTAACGAGGCTATTCTACTTTTCCTTTAGGGGGTTGATAAGGGGTCATCTCCTTGTTCTCCACCGTACTATTTGATTTTGCCTAATTGTAGGCACTGTATTATTGCTACAAATGATGGTATTTTTGTATGATCTTCAATTTATTTATCTTTTGGTGAAAGCTTATGTGGCCAATAAGGCCAATGTGTCTACAAAACTGGTTGCACATTGCACAGAACAAGTGAATAATCTGCAAATAATTATGAAATGTTCCATGCACTGTTTCGTCATGCTCAAATTACATATCTGTTCCTGTCTTTTTCTTTTTCCAGCTCAACCAGAACATGACCCCAACACTCACCACTGCTTGTGTGGCGCTGATGGTACGTTCGTTTTGCTTTTGTCTAAAAAGTAGTTTGGGGGGGGGGGGGTGTTAACTGAATGGCTGGTAATAGGCTTTTGTTATATACCAGTTTCACAGATATGTTTCTCCGTATTTGTCATTATGGGCTTTGCCTGATATCGTTTTTATATTTTTTAGTATGTTCATGTCAGAAAATGAGTTTGCTTTTGTTTTCAATTAAGTACTCTTAATTGTGCACTTTACTCTCAGGGCATATTGAGTACATATATAGTTTTTTAGAATAATTTGATGAACTATATAAATGTTGTTTTGATATTCATATTAAGACATTTTTAAAGTGAATGTTTTAATGGCTTTTAATTGTTCTCTTCCTCAGCTGATTTGATCATGCTTGGTAAGTACTTACCTTCATTTTTCTCCCGTTCATCTGTACGTCTGAACAACCATAGATTCGCCCATGTCAATCCTTCCATAGACCAAAGAAAAATATATCGCTACACTACTTTTACCATTTATTGCAGTGTAGCTGCACCATGCACTTTAAAGAACCTTCAAATATAGATGCAGTCATGTTAAGAGAATTATTTAGTTTTGTTTTGACTCAGAGCAGTAGTGTATTTGGAATGCTGTTCTTGTTTGAGGTATCCAATTAAGGGAGTTGGATTATTTCTTTTGTTATTTTGTATTGTGTAATAGTGATGTAATCTCTTCTTTTTATGTTATTCAGTGTAACCCTTATTTCCGCACAGTAATCAAGAAATGTGGTATTTTATATTTGGGTTTTTTTGTTTCTGTTTAAAAAAATTTGACCTTACAATTTGGAAAGTGGGTGGTTGGCAGGTGCTCTGGTGTGGGCTGCTCCTTCTTTCCTATCAAGCATCTGTCATCCTTTTCTCTCCTTTTTTGTGCTAGTTACTCTCTTGTAACACCTCTAATCTTCGTTGGCACTTACATGACCTGGTTGTGTTGCAAGTTCTGTAAAACTCTCACTAAATCTGAAAAAAAAAAATTGTGAGGTTATTGGATTATTGTTTTATAACTTACATGCTAATTATTGTCTTGAAACTGGTTCTCTCTAGGTCTTGCCACTCATGAACCGAACTTCACGATCATCCGAGAGGAGTTCAAGCCAAACCAGCCAAGGCCCTGTGATCTCTGTGGACAGATGGGTAGGTGCTTTTGCCAGCCTACCTTTCTTGACAGCTTTGTAGTTCGCAGTTTTGTGTGTATGTGAGAGAGAGACAGAGAGAAAGAGTGTCTATGTGCATGAGAGACAGAATGTGCATAAGAGAGAGAGAGAGAGAATATGTGTGTGAGCTGAGAGGGACAGTAATAGCTTTTTATGGTCCCCATCTTGTGCTAATTCACATTTTAAAATATGGGTAGTTGGATTAAGATTTTCACACACTAGATGATTGCTTGGTTGGCGCTCTGACAAGATCTACTGCTTCCACATCTTTTACAGGCTATAAAATATGGCCGTTAATATTCTCTGTAGCTGTAATCTACAACCCAGAGTTACCCTCTCTTTTTTTTCTCTCCAAGTTTTCCATTGTTACCCTTCATACAAATAGGGCTAGAAGCAGCTTCTGAGTTTTTACGGTTTGCTTTGCTTCTCTCTGGCAGGTCATGAGCTGAAAAACTGTGAAGGCATGGCTAAAGAACCCGGTGCTGATGAGGTTTGTTTCTATGTTCTGAATTTAGAATGAGCTAGGAAACTGCGTTCGTTTGCTTTGCAAGATAAACTGTATTAAGACTGTACCATTGTTTTGAAACTGGAAAGTAATAAATGGAATTGGCATAGGAAAATAAGAGGTTTAACTGACTGCCAACAACATTTTTGTTATGGTATTTTTAAAAAATTAATTTTGTTCTGCGTAGCTTGTCCGTAAATTTCTAGAACATGAGTTTTTAGATATCCAGAAAGTGGAGGAACTAAGCAAGATTTCCTGTCACTTGGTCAATTACTTAGCTCTTGTTAGGGTGTGACCGAGCCCTGGTCAGTATGGAATTGCACTGGTCACTCCATGCTGGCCGTTTTCAACAAATTCACTGGAATATAGATATGCTCCTGGCCTTGTTTTTGGCTCAGATAATGATACAGTTCTTATCTCTTTAGTACTTTTAATGTTACCAAGTTGTCAATCAATCATTTTTTTCCCCACAAGTAAAGTAGCTCACTATTTTCTATTTCAAAAATATTTTTGCTCACTAAATGGGACAAAAATAATGCCAAAAAGTTGAATATTGCTGAAGAAATTATTTAATGAAAACTTCAGACAAAAATTATATTGTATTATAAGAAATCCTGATTCCCATGATCCCACCTATGTTTAAGGATTAGGGCGGAGCGTGCGTTTATTTATGACTAAAGCTCGATGAATTATTTTTTTGTATGTCGTGATATGCATTTTGTTTTGTTGCTCGTTCCCTCAATGCATGTCCCTTGTTTGGATAAACTGATGCCACTACTACCATAAGCTGACAAAATGTCATTAAAAAAAAATTTTTGATGCCAAATTTTTAAAATTTGCTAAATCGAAACCCTGATCAGTTTCCCTACTTGTGTGAAAAAATCAAAGTGAAACTGTAGCTAGTTTTTGAGTAGATTAAAATTTAAATTGTTAAAGAATGCTATTTTTAATGGTTACGCTAAAAAAAAAGCCTCTTTGTCTCGAAACTGCTGTATTTTTTTTTAAGGCGTTGTGTCAGCGTACCGCAGAGTAAATATGTTTTTAATGTTGATGTTTTCGTCTCTGGTTTTTGCGTAGTCCATGGGTCTCTTTGGCGCGGAGCAGCAGTTCATCTTTGTGAGACTGTGTGTGCTGAGGGAGTACCTGCAGTCAGAACTGGAGATGCCCAATCTGCCCTTCGAGTATGATTTTGAGGTAGGTCCTGAAGGAAAAAGATCATAATAGTTCCATGAGCTTTACCATCTGTAATTCCAGTCTGGAGACGGCTAACCTTTTTTTTTTCTTTCCTAAAATAAAAAAATGAAGGTTCTTCTCAGCTTTATCAGACATCTAGTTTTGTGTTTTAGCGCTTATAAATGGCAGCTTGCACTGTATGCTTCCCAGGACATTGAGATTGTTTCAGACTGCTATCAGGTCTGCTAGGGTAATATTATAGAATATAAAGCGCATGGAGCTTGCAGTTGAGAGGGAAGTTGTGCTATACAAATGCTATCCGTTGTTACTATTATCAAACATTCATTTATTATTGTTCTTTCTGTTTCCCCACAGCGAGCGTTGGATGACTGGGTGTTCATGTGCTTCTTTGTGGGAAACGATTTCCTGCCTCACCTTCCGTCTCTTGAAATCAGGTGAGTCCATTGCCACAAGTGGCTGTTATTTCAAGTTTGTGCTGATGCTAAAACATTGTTGCTTTCCATACGTCTCTCTCTTGTTGCTGTTAGTAGTTTAAAATGATAAATTTGTTTTAGTAAGGTTTTACAGCTCTCGCAACTGCATAAGGTCATATGAGCTCCAAGGGATGGATGTCAACAGAGAAGTTCAAACGGGGAATCAGGCTTACTCTGTTCACCTCTCTAGCCTCAACAGCACAAAATCTGCTTCGACTATCTAGGCGCCCCAGAAATAACAGTTCTCAAGAGAGTGACAAACATACAGAAGAAGTAGAGGAAAATGACAATAGTTTCCCCTATGTTGTTCTGGCACAGTATGAGCATGACATTGATAAATCAACCCATTTACGGTTCTACTGTGCATAAGAACATGTTAATATCCCCACTTTGGGAATGGCCTAAAGACAACCCTAAATGATAAATTGAGACTGAGCTGTCAATGCAATGATAGATGTTGATGGGCTCAAAATTACTGTCCAGTGATGAAAGTTAACATCAAAATAAATTTAAAAAAAAAAGAAGACAAAATTGTTTACATAACAAATTAAGAAAAGTATGTTGATGGGAGGAGGGTTCTCTGTGAGCTGTTGTGACAGTCCTGGAAAACTAAAACTGAAAACTTGAAGTGACATATGTACTTCCTTAAAGTAGTGACTGTGTCTTCATGGCTCTTCAATTATGATGCTGAAAAATCTGTTTTTCCCCTTTTTTTTCTTCAGAGAAGGAGCGATTGACAGATTAGTGAAGCTGTACAAAAACACAGTCTATAAAACTGGGGTAAGTTATCTTGATACTTGAGATGTTACAAGTTTATCACCTCTACAAATGTTAATAGCTGACTGATAGTTATATAAATGACCTTGCAAATTGCAACAGAGGGTACCTATGTTTAAGCTTATTGTCAATTTTGCCCAATTAACATATGTTTACAGTCTTGAATTTGAACATGTATTGCGCTTGGCTTTTATGCCTCTTGGCATATTTGACATAGGATAGAAGGTGTTGCGAGGTGGGTTTTGTCAAAGCATAGGCACCTGAAATTCATTAATTGTCTTAGTTGGAACTTTTGGAGTGTTTTCTTTACTCTCAACACACTCCCACCCCCTTTTTGTTTGCTTCCTACTCTGTGAAACTAGTAATGTACACATGAGTGCTGCATGTCCTTAGTGTAAAAATAATTATTGATATTATTTAGATGGTGACAAGTGCAGTACATATGTGTGTGTGCCTAGAGAAAGGTACCAAAAGTCGCCCCAGACCATTTAGAGCTACAGGCTGGTAAAGACAAAAATTTTTTTTTTTAACCAAAACGTGTTTCCATAAAAAAGTGATAGATCCAACATTTTTTACAATGTTCTGAAAGGGTTTTCATTTTATTGATTTGACTTCTGAATGCTTTATTTTGAATTATTTTTAGGGAAGGGTATAATAAAAAACGAATTATGAAAACTCTTTTAAAAGGTGTTAAAATCTATTTTTTAAGCACGTTTTCTCTTCCCTGCTATGTTTTACCATTGAATTCCATTCATGATATCGATGTCGATTGAATGCCAAATTAGAAATGAATTTTCCATGAATAAAATTTTTTTAAAAAGTTTGTATCTGTTCTCACGTTTGTTAAACTTAAAAGCTCATTTCCTCAAATTATGTTTGTTTACCCCACCTCGCAAACTGTGCAATATCTCAAAAACTACTTGAGATCTGTGAGAAATTCAAAATCCCTTGTGTTCAGCATTAAATTTCCTGTAAGGTACAATCCTTAACTCAAAATGGTCAAGATCCGACTTTTGGTACCTTTTTTTAGGCACACACACATATTGTTAGGAGAAGATTTAGACAAATATTTTGTATTAACCTGTGAGTGATCTTGAAGTTGTTGTTACCTGTCTGTACACATGTCGCCTGTAGTCTAGTGGTTAGGCTACGGGACTCATAATTGTGTGGTTGCGGGTTCGGGGGTTCGAGCATCAGGCCCAACGTTTTGTCCTTGGAAGGACACTTTACGAGTATTTTCCTCACTTCACCCAGGTGTGAATGGGTAAACGTTATCAAGACATTCAAGGAATTGCTTTTTTAAAAAAATGATATGTTGTGAAACTCAAAATTTTTACGTAAAATTTCTCAAAACTACATACTGGGCAGTTTGTTATTCTAGGGTAGCAAAATACTATCTATCTGTTATTACATTCCCCCATGTCTGCTGCGTCCCTAGGGTTATCTCACGGACAGTGGAGTTGTCAACCTGAGTCGAGTGCAGCTTGTCATGTCAGGTACGTTGTTGTTTTTGCCATGCTGCTGAATGAATCGTGTTTAAACTGAACAATTTAGTTTCATGGTTAATTAACAGCTTTGTTTTTCTGTTGGCGAAGTTCCTGTGCTCTATTCATAAGTTTGGGCATAAGAGCTGTTTCAACTGATAAATAAAACTTTTTATGTACATCAGTTGTATTTTTCGTTTTTCAGTGTAGAACTAGGTTTATACACAGGAGTATGGAAAAATCTGATAATATGTATGATTTGTTTTCTCTGAGTTGTTCCCAGTTAATCAACCTTGATGAAAGAAAGGCTTTCCTGTTACACTTTTATCGATGCAGTCATAAATGGCATCTGCGGTGTAATGGTTAGGGGTCTTCTGCTGTTACAAAACAGGATCAAAGCAACCAGCCCTATCAGTGATATTAAATAGATATATGATTTTTAACATTTACTATCTTTTACCTGATCTCTTGTGTTATGGGCTCAGTTTCAAGTGGGAAAATTATTTTGATTTAGTGTTTAAAGTGTTTCTACTTTTGTATCAATGATACATTAACTTTTAATGCAGAGCCTCTATTGTGTATGTGTGTGCATTCTATTTCATTTGCTTGAATATAGTGGCTGCTCAATAATAGAGAGAGGTAATTTTTTTGCTTTTTAATGGGGGGGGGGGGGGGGGGTTGCCTGGTCCTTGTGGTTCAACTGTATAATAGTAGAATTGCAATAAGTCTTGAGTTATTTTGTCCCTCACCAAAGCTATTGTAATTTATATGATTAAAAATAAAATTGTTGATCCATTAGGTTTTGAGTCTGAGCCTTTCGGACCAGTGCCATGTTAAAAAAGGTGGAGGCCTTTGATATTTGTTCATTTGTTCTTTGCTGCAGTAAGAAAACAGTCTTGAGAATTGTTAAAATTGTTTTAATGCTATAATTTTATTTTTTTTAAATTAAACCTTTTTTAGTTTTGGCTTTTTCAAAGAGTGCCCTAGAAGTCAGGGAGAATGCTGCAGACAAATGGATAGTGAGACCAAAGGAATTATCAAGTAAAAATAAGATGCAACTGTACTAGATGACAAATATTGTGTACTCAAGAACTATCTTATCTTTTTTGGTTTCAGACTTGGGCAAAGTGGAGGATGAGATCTTCAAAAAGAGGAGACAAACTGAAGTAAGACTTGCACTACAGCAATATGCCCTTTCCTTTTGTGTGAACAGGCATGTATCTAGGATGCTGTGCTCACTCTTACTTTGTCGTGTCGGTAGTCGTTCAGTTCAACATGTACTCGGTAGCTTTTTGGTTATGTAATGCAGTTTTGTTAATTTATTGTAAAGTATAGTGGAAATTTCTGAATTGTATTTCAACTCTTTTTGTTCTTTTATGCGATCTATTCTGCCATGTACATTTAGTCTGATATTTATTGTGGTGTGTCTCAACTGCAGCTATTGGTTTATACACAGAGTGATAGAAGTCTTATATCTGAATCCAGAGTCAGTTAACTTTTAGAAATGCTTCCCGGGAAGCTGAGAATGTTTCTGAGTGTTATAGGGTCTGCTGGGGTAACAATATAGTGTAAAGCGCATTGAGCTTGCTGTCAAGCAGGGGTTTGAGCTATACAAATGTTATTTATTATTTATTATTATTATTCTTAATATTTATTACTCATTGACTTCTGTCAAAGCTGATTGGATTCTGATTCTTTTTTTTCAGTTGGACTTCAGGAGGAGAGACAAGATGAAGAAGCAAAGGATGAGACAGGTGAGAAGAAAAGTTTATATAGGATTACAGAGCAAAGCCCAGCATTCGCCCAAACTGATTAAAGATGTGTCATGTCTTTTAACTGTATCCAGATTCTGTGCTGCTGCTGCTTAATTGGTTTTTCTTTGTTACAAAATGTTCCTAAAGCCACTACGCAGATTAAAATTTTTTCTTTCGTTATGGCTGCATTTTTTGTCTGTAATATTTCTTTCTTTCTTTTTTTTTTTTTTTACATATTTAAGAGTTTTGGATTCAATGTTGGTTGTCCTGGAAGTCGATTCTTTGTTTCTTTTGCTCTTTCCTTGTTAATGCAAAAATTAGATTTGGTGAAATTTATAAGCTGCTTTTGAAAAAGTTCTGACATTTTCATATGTATAAATATTGTGCCAGAGAAATTATATGTTTGTATCAACTTATGTATTCATTTACAGCAACAATTGGCTCAAAGACCAAAGTGGATGATGGGAGGTCAATTTGCTCCTCAAGTGAGTACTTCTTCTGTCTTTGGAAATTCATTTCTTTTTTTGGTGTATCGGTCTGAGGAAAGAAAATAGTACTTTAGCCTATCAAAAGAAAAAACACTTGCTCGAAGAAAGGTGTATGTTTATCATTGTGGTTTTAGTGTGAAAGGCTCTTCATTTGTGTATAGAGCACCCAATGGAGAATATTGACTGTTCAGTGTAAAACTTCGTAATACCGGGTGCCCATTGGCACGATCGGGGTGGGTCAGGTCAGGTCAGTTTGTAAGCTAGATTGAGGGCGCAAAGCGGCTATCGTTGCACAAATCAATCATTTGACTCGTCGCCTAAAAAACAAACGCATTTGTTTTCATGCGACGAATTGGGCGATTGACCTGACCCGGCCCGATTCCATCTGCAATGGGCACCTGGTATAATAGTTCACTTTTCAAAATGGCTTATGGTGGAGTCTTACACTAAGCATTTAATATGCAGTCCTCAGGGAACTATCTGTTGATGATGATGAGGACATTTAAAATTTAATGTGAATGTGTTTATTCATACTCAATATGTGCACTTATAAATGTTTTTACTTTAAAAGAATTTAAATTGTTTAAAAATTAAACAGAAAATAAGTTTTGTTTCAATTTGCAACAGATATGTCCTGTTGAAAATGTTACCCCCTCATGATAATATAACAATACCATGGTGAGATTTTCGCTGATTCCTTTTGATAATAAAAGATTTGTCCCTGAGTCATTGAGTTAAAGTGACTGATTAGTGGGAACCTTTTTATAATTTAAGAAACAGTTGAATTCGCATAAACTGAAATCTGCTGTACAATCAGTTTTTCTTCGGTTTAGCCATGTTTTCAGTGTAGAGAGATTGCACAAATAGCGATTTAAAAAATTAGGGGTTGTTAGTTTTTTTTCGGTTTACATCTGTTTTTGGATTAACTGTGTTTAGTTTAAGAGGACTTGGCTGTATTTGATAACTCATAGTAATTATGTAGCAGGAATTTTTAACCTCCTCAGGAAATAAAAGTTTAGCCAGAATTACCACTCAGACTCTGAGAGACTTGCATGAATATTTTCCAAAATATTTCACCAAGTACTTGAAATCCTTTCAAACTACCTACTCCATTGTAGATATTTGTGATTTCTTCAGTGGTACGGAAATGTCCATTTCACAAACATGCACATCTTATGCAGTTGCGAGTGCTGTAAAACCCTACTAAAACTAAAAACTAAACTAAATCGTACACATTATTTTTCAGGCTCCTGGTAGATCTGGTCCCGGCAGCTCCTCGGTGTCAAACCCCCGACAGGCAGCGTACGAGAGTCGTAAACAGAACATGTCTGGTGGCGGGGCCACGGCCGAGCTCAAGTCTATGCTCACCCGGGAGGGGGAGGACCAGCGGGGCCAGAAGAGGAGGCCAGAGAATCAGGGAGGGCGGGGAGGGGATGACAGCGATGAGGAGCAGGAGCCCGCTGATGATGTCAGGTAATAATGGTGTTGTTGTTCATCCCAGGGTCTTAATAAAGTCAGGTAATGATTTATGTTGTTTATCCAAAGAGTCTTGATAAAGTCAGGTAATTATAATGTTGTTGTTCTTCCCAGAGTCTTGATAAAGTCAGATAATGATAATGTTGTTGATCCCAGAGGTCTAAATGAGGTTGGGTCATAATCATGTTGTTTATCCCATGGGTCTTACTAAACTTGGTTAGTGATATTTTTGTTGTTTATCCCAGGGGTCGTGATGAAGTCAGGTAATGAGAATGTTATTATTTCCAGGGCTCTTGATAAACTCAGGCTATCATAATGCTGTTGTTTATTCTATGCATGTTGTTGTTTATCCCAGGGTCTTGATAAACGTGACGATAATGTTGTTGTTCATCCTAGGGTCTTGATAAAGTCAGGTAATGATAATATTGTTGTTAATGCAGCAGGTCTTATTGATCTCAGGTAATGGTGCCGCTCTTGTTTGGGAGGAATCAAACATAAAATAAAATACCATGTTGAATATTTGAATTTTGGTCTAAATTAAACTGTCTTCATGTTTTTTTTTGGGAGGCATTAGTGTTTTGAAAATGATGATAATATAATAGCCCGATTTTGGGTTTAGTTGTGAAAATGGTAAATCATTGATGAGTTTGGGAGACTAAATTTATGGGAGAGTTGCTGACTGAGTAAACAGCTTACCCATTTATAATCTTATATGGTGTGTTCTGTGAACAGGCTGTGGGAAGATGGCTGGAAAGATAGATACTACAAGTCCAAGTTTGACGTCGATCCAGATGATCTTGAGTTCCGCTACAATGTGGTGAGTTTTATTTTGTATTATGAACTATTTTAGTTGTAAGAAAAAAACATTTACATTTTCGAGGCTCTTTTTAATAATGCCTTCACGTTCAGGGAATAATAAGTCTTTTTTAAAAGTTTTTTTTAAAGAGCAATTCGTATTGCCATTGTGTATGGTATAAGCTTTTTAAAAAAAAAAATTGATTAGGATTTTATTACTGCATGTGGCGTATGCACTGTTGACTAGTATTATGAACATGGTTTCAATTGTCGTTTAGTTTGTAGGATATTTTAATCTCAGGAGATAGAAGTTTAGCCAGAATTAACACTCTCTGAGACTTGCATAAATATTTCCAAAATATTTAACCAAGTACTTGATACTAGCTTCTGTTTATACAGTACTGTGGAAGCTAAGATACAGGTATCCTTCCTGTATGTGTTTCAGTGTGTTTTATCCTCTTTTTCTTGTCATGTGTCGTTTTTTTGACTATGATACTTTTGACAAGTTTGGAGAGAAACTACTGTCACAGTTTAGTACTTTACATTATCTTAAAACTCCACTAAATTGTTGCTAGTTTGGTAGTGCAGTCATATTGTTGTTCAACACCGAAGTAAGGACACCCTGTCCTGGTGGTTGACGTGATCATGTTCATTTTTTTTCCCTTGACCTCCCACAAGCCAGTGGGCGGTTGGCGTGTGCTCTGGTGTGGTTTGCTTCTTCTTTCCCATCAAACATCTATCGTCTTTGTCTCCCCTCCTTCTTCATATGTGTTTGCTACTCTCTTCTTGTAACACCTCTAATCCTCGGCACTTGTATGACCTTATTGTGTTGCAAGTGCCATAAAACACTTACTAAAACAAGTCAAACCTCCTTTCACAGGCCAGGCATTACGTCCGAGGGCTGTGCTGGGTGCTGAGATACTACTACCAGGTAAGAGAAGACGTCTGTCTGCTTATCTCATACCAGAGGGGTGGCCATTCTTAGTGTGAAGCCACATTACAAGTGAGAGCTGAAGCTAGAGATGAGCGATAAACTTAGGGGGTGGCCATACTAATAATATAGAAAAACAAATGAAGAAGTCCTGGTTGAAGCAACTTATAGAAAACAACTTATCACGAATATAAGAAAACAACAGGCAAATTTCTTCGGACACACAATGCGGAAAGAAGCATTAGAGAATATTGTAATAAAAGGAAAGTTAGAAGGAAAGAGAGGCAGAGGCAGACAGGGAAAAGATACTGGACAAGATGACAACATGGTTGGGACAGTAAGAACAACAGACACCATCGCTGCAACGCAGGACAGGGTGAAGTGGAGGTCCATGATCGCCCACGCCAGTCGGCAAGGCACCGGATGATGATGATGATACTAATGATATAGTCTTTGCGCTATACAAATGCTATTTATTATTATTCCTATTCGCTGCTTTTCTCAAGCGGGCAATAACTGGCAAGCTAGCGGGAATCAGCTGAGGTGAAAACTGGTGTGTTGGGGGGGAAGGTTGGTCTGTAGGCTAGACATCCTGAAGTTTTGCTGTGTTGTTTCTTGTTATAATTTTTTTTCAGATTTACCTGTCTTCTGCTTTTGCATGAGCTCTGTACTTTGTTGAGGAATTCTGCCCAGCGTTAAAATTTGATCTGATTTTAGCATCTACTTCACAAGAGAAACGTATTTTCAGTACTGTTTAGATTTGTATTCTTGCTATGACTAACTGACTCTTAAGCTGTCATGTTGTAGGGTCATCAGTGTTTTAGTGCTGATTATAACCTCTTTATGTTTTGAAGTTTCCTTTCTGGCCCATGAGTGAAGTGCAGCTTTTATCTGTAACGTAAATAGATTTAATCTTTTTATGTGTTCCACGAGATGAAAGAGTAGGTCCTCTGAGCTAGTTTTACTTTTTATTTCAACAGTATATGCTTGCACCCTCACATGAACAAGCACTGCACACTTTCATTTCTCTGATAATAACAATTTTTTGTAAGCATTTAAAAAATTGAGGTTTCAGTGAAACAATTTTAAGTTGTCTATTATTTACAGGATACTATGAAGTTAATAAATGTAGCTAGCAGCCAGTTATGTATCATCATGCCTTTCCCCAGGGCTGTGCGTCTTGGAAGTGGTACTTCCCATACCACTACGCTCCGTTCGCCTCTGACTTTGTCAACATTGGAGACCTGGCCAATGATTTTGAGAAAAACACCCAGCCCGTGAGTCGATATGATATATATTTTTTTATGCCCCTTAAATGCTGTGAGATTGTTTAAGGAGCAGTAGGTGGTTGGAGGGCGCCACCGGTAGGTCCTACTTCTTTACTTTCCCTCTGTTGCTTATGTTTGTTTGTCTTACCTTTTTAGCACTAAATGACCGTTATTGTTCGATGTGCTTCAATTTATTCAAACAAACAAATGTTTAAGAAACTGGAGCTCCAAATTTTACGTCTATCTCTCATAGGATGAAGCCAAGAATGTGGATGATAGTTGTGAACATTATCAAAATTACACGAATCAGGTTGAAGGAGGTAAAGTTTGGAACTAGGTGTTTACAATTCAAATGCTGTCATCTGTAACACTTCCAATCTTCTGCATTTTTGACCTATCTTGTATTGCAAGTGCCGTAAAACTTACTAAAACTAAACTTAAATTTGTGGATGTCCTCTTTTTTTGTGTCCGGTTGCAGTTCAAGCCACTGGAGCAACTGATGGGTGTGTTCCCTGCTGCCAGTAAGAAACATCTTCCCATCACGTTTCAGACTCTAATGGAAGACCCGGTGAGTCTTGCGCTTTCTCATTAACATCACATTGCCTGAATTTCATGGGTGTAGTTATCAGTATGTGAATTTCCTCTTTCTGATAGAATGCAGTTTGGTTTGGGGTTATTTTGCATGCCTAATTTGTTGTTTATCATTTTCTGAAGATGAAGATCTCTCTTGGTCTGAATCTAGAACGGAGACAGAAAAAGTTTTTTTTGTAACTTATGTCACTTCCCTTATGTCAAATTTGTAAAAACTTGCTTGTGACTTCAATTATATGTACTTGTGTATTATCTATGACGTACTTACCTTTATGTTCCCCAGGAGTCTCCTATCATTGATTTTTATCCAACTGATTTCAAGATTGACTTGAATGGGAAAAAGTATGCCTGGCAAGGTAGGTACCTGCACTGAGACTCCTTATTTATTTTCTTTTAATGAGGTGTTTCTTTCCGTGCCAGCGTCTTTAGTAAGGCTTTTCGTCTCAAATGCGAAAGATGTTAGTTTGATTCCAAAGTGATGAAGATATTTTTTTTATGTCTCTTTTTTTCTACTGCGATGTTCTCTGACAGTGCGGGTTGAATATGCAGCCTTGTCAACCTGTCCTGAATTTCCAGGGACAGTTCCAAGTTCGGCTATCGGAAATTTGGCAGCCTTTTCATATAATATGCCAAAACCAATCTCTTTATTTCATATTGATTTTTGTTAGGTGATTGGAATTTATATTATAACAGTGGGTGTCCCTGGTTGTGTTTTGAAAAAGTTGGCAAGGCAGAAACAGACTGCTGTTTAAATTATGAATTTAGTACCGATAGTTACACAACATTAGGAAAGGTAAAAAAAATCCCCCCAAAATACCACTTTCATTTATCTCGATGCGGAAATGTGTTAAAATTTTTTTAAAAAGATTATAGGGTTAAAGATGAAACGCTCAAGTGACCAACTCCTTACTTCTTAAATCTACAATTACTGTTTATCAGGAATAGCACCTTTCAGTCGTCTATGAAAGAAATTATTTTTTAAACTTAATGTGCTGTTTCTGTTTGTCAGTTTATCAAGAGTTGTGTCATTGTTGTCATATGAGAGGGAATTGTTTCCTTTAGTGTGTTATTTTTGTTAGTCTTGAATTTCCTCTTGCCATTTTTATTTGTTTTAAAGTAATTTACTTTGACGTGGGCAGGTTGTTGGAGGGTGTCACTGGTAGATCCTGCACATTTTTTCCCCTCTATTTCTTCTGTCTCACTTTTTTGTCTGTATCAAATAAACCATTATTATGTCGATGTGAGCTCCTCTTTACTCAGTGGGTGGTTGGAGGGCGGCGCTGGTAGGTCCTACTTCTTTATTTTCCCTGTGTTGTTTCTGTCTGTCTGTCTTACTTTTTCCCAGCACTACATGGCCGTTATTGTGTTGATGTTCTTCTCTTTACTCAAACAAACAAATCCTCTTTACTCAAACAAACCTGACTTTCATGTGCTGTTTCTGTGGATCAGGAGTTGCCTTGCTGCCGTTTGTGGATGAGACACGTCTGCACAAAGCCCTGGAGTCTGTGTATCCGGATCTGACGCCACAGGAACGTGAGTACCAGCTCTGCTTTAAGCTGACAAAATGCCTTTTTTTTTTTGGCACCAAATTTTTTAATTTGCTGACTGATAGCCTCATCTGACGTCGGCTAACGGAACGCTTTTTTTCATTTTTTGTGCCAACTAACGGAACGCTTTTTTTTTCATTTTTTTGTGCCGATTTTTTTGGTTGCTAAATTGATACCCAAATCGGTTACTTGTGAAAAAAGTCAAAGTGAAACTGTGGCCAGTTATTGAATAAATTATCATTCAAATTTCAGAAGAATGCCTTTTTAAAAAGGTTACACAGACAATACTTCTCTTTATCTTGAAACTACTGTGAACAGGAAGGTGTTTTGTCAGCGTACGGCATGTACTTTTACAGATGAATTATGTGTCTCCCTTGTGTTGCGTGGGGAGGGGGGGGGGTTGGTTTAGTGTGGTCTGGTCTTTCCACTTTGTTTTAGTTTTTGGTCGAAGTTTTTTTTTTTTGTGCTTTTTTTCCCTTGTGTTTGTTATTGTGGGAAGCATCATAGATTTGAACTGAATAGCTTTAGGAAACTTCATTGTGTTTGTTATAAGAGGAGCTGGGGTGGATGGTAGTTGCTTTTTATTTATGAAGAAAGATTTCGGTAATGAGATGATTGATGGGGGCTGTGTTTGCTTTGTCTATTTTTTAAAAGATTGTATATATATTACATCCATGTTCATTTGTTTTCTTTTTTAAAGTATTTTTTCTCTCTTGTTTATACTTCATCTCAGCATTTTTACTTACAACTGCTTGTCCCCACTCCTGTCATCATGGGTGGTTGGCGGGTGCTCTGGTGTGGTTTGCTTCTTCTTTCCTGTCAAACATCTATCGTCCTTATCTCCCCTTCTTCTTTTTTATGTTTGTTACTCTCTTGTAACAGCTCTAATCATCTGGCGCTCATATGACCTTATGCAGTTGCGAGCGCTGTAAAACTTCCTTAAACTAAAAACTGTCATCTAATGAGTGATGATGGAAAGACGTTTGTCTACATGTCTCTAACATTCTATTTCTGCTACATGTGTGAATTATTTTTTTCCTGTAATGCTTGTGTTCCAGGCAAAAGGAATACCAGGGGCAGTGACCGACTCTTCATCGGAGCCTCTCACCCGTCGTATGATTTTCTGGAGGGACTCTACGAGGGAGGAGGCACAACTGACGTGAGTAGTGGTGGAGTACTTTCAAGTGTTATATATGTGTCACAATGCTGTGGAATCAGGCACTCATCAATTTTTGGGCATGTGGAGTTCTTGGTATAATCTGAAGGCTTATTCATTTACCTTGCTTTTGATGAAAAAAAAAAAATACTCATCTGTCTTGAATCCAAGTCGAGATATTTGCGATTGAAGGAGGTGGGGGTCGCCTGGTTTCAAATGTAAAATTAATGAGAAAATGTCTGCCAAAGTTTGATAACTTGAGAGTCCTTGAACACTGAAAATTTGCATATTTTGTGGTTTTTATCAGTTTTCAGTAAAATTCACATGGAAATGTATTTTTATAATGACATAAAGGCTGTTGAGCTTAACACAAAAATTTGATAAAAATTACCTTACTGGCGGGAAAATGCCTATTTCTTCTTTATCGTTGTTTTGACGAGCGCTTGATTTCACCACGATGCTTCACATATTATGTTGAGTGTACATAACAACATCCCAGTAGTGGGGGAGAGAAAGTATCTGGTCTTAAGAGATGGTTGGATTTGTCTTACAACAGGGGTTGTCCCTTCTGCCTGAGTGCACATATCAACGTGTGCTGTCTTTTTCCTTCTGCGCCCCAGATGTATGCCTCATCTTGTTTTCAGGTGGTGCAAATTTAGTTTTCCTTCCCCCGGGAGTTCAGGTGTAGAAAGTCCTGTAGACTTACAGGGCAAGGGCTAAGATAGTTATTGTGTCGGTATGTATGATAAGACATGCATACATACATGTTGTGTCTGTATGATACCGTAAGATATATATTTATATACCATCATTACATGGGTATTGTTTTTCGTTTATCAAAATGCTTGTGTGCAAATCTGTTCTGTAAGATAGACTGAACAAACGAAGCTCCAATACTTTTCAGTAATAGTCTGACATCACGCTCAATGAATGGGAAGTTGACACGTTGATATGGTGACAAATAGAGAGAAAAAAAGCAAAGTGAGAATGTTTAACCAACCCATAAGTCTATTTAGTTGTCTACCTTGTAAATGTCTCCACATTTTACTTTTTTGTGGTTGTTCAAGTTGTCTTACTTAGTGTAAATAATTTTTATGGGAATACTTCCATTTATGCATACCTTGTTTGTTTGTTCCCCCCACAGCAAGTTCCTATTGATCCCAAATTGACGAAGGGCATGGCAGGCAACGTCTGGTGTGATGAGTACAATATTGAAAAAGGAGGGTAAGTCAGTCTTGGATTTTTGTGTGAATTTTTTTTTTTTTAAAGATGTCTGTTAACAATGATCTGTTGTGATGTACTCTTTTTTCATTGCTTTCTTTCGCTGATTCAATATTGCTATAGGTTTTGTCTTTGACATAAGATTGTGGTCATAGCTGATCCGACATGGCGAAATCTTATGCTCGGTTACTGTATATACTGTATATATACATATATAAATATACTCACCTATAATACAAAGACTTTTGTTTGTTTGAGGGCTGAAAGTATACCCTTCGTCAAACACATGCAACATACAGAAAAATACAGGCTCTACCAAGGGAAGTAGTGCTGAATACATTTTGCCTTTTTTAAAAATCTTTCTTGATCTGCCGATTTTATTAATAAAAAATTTAAAGAATTATATATTTGATTCCTAACTAGTACTTGGTTTCATGAATGTTGATCCCCCTTTAACATGTCAGAAAATTCACTCCGTATTATATGCACAACCTACTAATAATATTGGCTGATTTTTTAGGCAAAGCACACCCCCATATTATATGCGAGGTGGTTATAGTCAAGTATAAACAATGTGTAACAAGTGAGTAACTACTGCTAGTCAGTACATTTTGTTTCAAAGTTTATAATTCTAAACTCGTGGGATTTTCAGTGTGTTGTTACAATTCAGTAACTACTATCAGTCTGTATATTCGTTTCAAAGATTATCAATTAAAAATGAAAATAGTCTCAGGTTCTCCTGTATGTTGGTAGATACTCTAAAATTGCCCCTGTTCTGTTTTTGACCAGGGTTGTGCCCACCCCTCTCCCTGATGTTCCAGACATCCATGATAACAAGTGCATCACGTGAGTACACCTGGAGTGAGGGACTCCTGCTTTTCTCTCGTGTGTTATGTGTATGCTCTTTGTAATAGTTCTCATCACCATTTTTGATATAATGTTGTGGATGGTAACCATTCACATGCAAAAATCATTACTACACAGCGGGTGGTTGGTGGGTGCTCTGGTGTGTTTGTTCAGTCTTTCCTATCAAACAACTTATCATCTTCTTCTCTGCTTCATCTTTTTTTGTGTTTGTTAGTCTCTTGTAACTCTGCTAATCTTCGGCACTTATATGACCTAATTGTGTTGCAAGTGCCGTAAAACACTTACTAGGACAAATGTAAAAGCCTTACTTCGCAATATGGGGAAGATATTTTTTTCCTTTTGATAAGTGTCTCTGCTGGGCCTGGTAGAAGCATGCCTCCTAAATAATCTGAAGTTTGGGAAAGTAAAGCATTTTGTCGGCTTTGTGATAAAACCGACTAACCCCAGCGGGGTAAATTCTACAGAAGAAGGAAAAAACTGTTTTATTTCACAACAAAGATGTCTAACGATAAATCAGTTCTTTAAACATCTATCAAAACACTTTACCGAAAAACCGTAAACCTTTTTTTCATTTTAACATCGCTTTTAATGAAACTGCGTGGGTTGGACGGTTATGTCGCTCAAATTTCTCCAGATAAAACTGACCAACCCTGAATTTTGTGGGTTGGCTGGTTTTATCAGGAAGCCACTGCTGGGCTTGACTGAGGCAAGCCGCACTTGCCGGTAACGTATTCGATCTGTTGTTTCAGTCGTTGTGATCTTTTGTGTTACATGTATCATCGTCGTCATCATCATCATCAGGAGAAGAAGAAGAAGGAGGAGGAGGAAGAGGAGGAGGAGGAGGAGGAAGGAAGGGAAGAAGAAAAGAGGGGTAAGTGGAGGAGGAGGAGGATAAGGAGAAAGGAGGAGGAAGGGGAGTAAGAAAAAGAAAAAGAAGGAAGAGGAGAAGGACGATTTTATCGCTACCACCATGCTATCAGCTGCTGTCATTTCAGTGGCATGGAGTCAATTTGGGCAAAAACAGCAGTCACAAAGTTGAAAATTTGCTAGAAGTAGAAGAAGCAGAACACAGCAATGGCAATGGGTCTCGAAGGGTAAGGGAGAGCAGCTACAGCAACAAAAACGACAACAACAACAACAGGGCTTTTCTCCTTGGGCAGATCGTTTAGTACTCTCCGACCTTTGGGAAATCTTTGAGAAAGCTGTGGTCCGGGTACATAACTTTATAGGGCCTGAGGATGCGTCTGGCCTGGAGCAAGATGTTCACATAGTCTACTGGGGTGTAAATCAGTCCGTTTTTTTTAGCGATCACGCAATAGTGCCGTGGACTGAATCCATCTCCATTTGGGTATGGCCCTTGGTGAGAATTTCTGCTCAACTGTGATATCAAGCTTTTGGCCAGCGAGACCATTGCATTCACTAAGATGGCATTTCTGTTTTGGTAGTTGCACCCATCTCTGTAAATGATGGAGTGGTTGGGGTCAGTCGCTTGCGATCTCAGGTAGTGAGTCAGACATGATGAAAACTGTTGGAACTTACACAGCCTTCACTTTTATCCTAGATATAACATCTGGCGTCTCCGGTGGCAAGATCCTAAATCGTAAAATTTTGTATAGCCAGTTTTGTTTTATGATATAAGGCAGATGTCTTTAATGCACTGGATCTCCCTACAAAGGACACACACTTTGTTCTCTGGGTTCCGTCCAGCCTCCCTGTCCTTTTCCTTCTGTGCTCAAGAAGCAGCTTTAATCATATTCTTATTTGATGAGCTGTGTATTCTGTTTCTGTGAGGTTTCCAGATTCGAAGCTGGTACAAATGTCGCACTGGTATAAGTATATTAAAGCTTTTAAATTGTCTTTGTGTTTCAGTGTGTGCTACTTGGATCCAGTGTATGACGCAGATTTCTTGTTCCCTGCCAAGGTCTTGCCTGGCGCTGTGTGAGTAATTTTTAGAAAAATATTTTATGAAATGGCAGTTGTTGATGTTTGTGTATTTTTCATGGTTTAATAAGAATTCAGGTCTGCATATATATCATTATTCTGATGCCAGTCTCTATCTGATTTTCATGAAGTTTTGTTGTTGTTTTTTTTAAATAGTTTTTTTTTTTTAATTCCTCTGTTCTATGCAGGAAATCTAGTCAGATAAGCTTAACATGTTTTGGTCTGAAAGCTAAAATGTTCTGTTTTTATAATTTTGTTAATGTTTATCCATCGTACATATTTCAGGTTGTTTTTATTTTCCTCAATTAATGTTAATAAGCAAATTTTGAATTTGAATACTATGCCTTTTTATTTATACCCCTTAATTTCCTTTGATCTCAAATAGATTTGCATCTGTGGTACATTATTCAGGTTTGGCTAGCTGCCTCAAATGAAAGAGATGTGAATTCGGTTCCCATATGGGGAAGCTACTGAACATGCTTAGTCATTCTGTTAGTTCTGGAAGTTTTCTGCCAGCCATGGGGATAAAAAGTTCATGTTTTCACTTTTGTTTATTATCTGTGAATGTGGTTAAGGCTCAGAAACGCTTCAGGGTGGGTAGGCACGATATAAATAAGTTTAATTGTTACAGATCCTGCACAAATAAGTTTTATTGTTACAGATCCTGCTCAGACTAATGGCTACCACAGAATTACAACGTTCTGTCTGCTCAGTACCTAGTTTTGAGAAATTTGAAGGCAAAATATTTGAGTTTCACAATAATTATGACAAGCTTTTTCTAATGCAATTCTTGGAATATCTTGAATACGACTCCCAATATTTTTATGATTTAGATAGAGCAGAAAGAACATTTTCTTTCTGACTTCATGGTCTTCATAACTCAAAACGGCCTAAAATGTCAGATAGAACTTTGTACTTCTGTGGTAGCGTAATGTAACTGGCCTTTCTTAATCTCGTCCCTGACCAGAATGCCGGCCCCGACCCTCAAGCCTGGAGATTGGAACTCCAGGAATCAGGGCCAGAGGTACAGGCCGCAGCTAGGCTTCCAGCCCAACAGTGGCTACAGAGACAACAAGGACATGTCCTCAGCCATGCGCATGGTCAGGTCAGTGAAAATAAGTAAATAAATAAATATATAGAAATAAATAATATTTTTATTGATCGATCCCAGAAGAGCAATTTGGTTTACAATGACAAACATACATAATTGCTGGTGCTGAGTGGTGGGTACTGTTCTGTGTTCTGCTCATACTTCTTTGTATTGTAATGTTAGGTTTGGGTTTTTGGTGTCTTTTTTGCTTTGTTTGTTTTTGTTTTTCTTTAAATTTTTTTTTGTGGTTGGTGGGTGCTCTGGTGTGGTTTGCTCTTTTCCTATCAAGTATATGTCATCCTTATCTCTCTCTCTCTCTCTCTCTCTCTCTCTCTCTCTCTCTCTCT